GGACTTGTGAAGCTATTTACAAACACCATGAGAACAAATCATTCTATTCATTAAGAGAATGCAACTATATATCTATCCTAACCACTTGGAATACACAAATACAAAATGGACATTCATCGGTATACCCCATTTTTTCTAAGTTCCATTATTGAATATTATAGGTGTGTTTTACTTTAAATTTTACTCTGAGAAGTTTGATGTGTTTTCCCTCAATTGTGGAAGTGTGACATTATTTGGGTGGCATCCATGTACACTGTTCCTAGCTTTATTGGCTGGAGCATTCTCAAAAGAAGGCTAAGCAGAATATCTCTGCTCATGGCCTTCGCAGTGTGGGCATCCAGTCTGGGCTGTATTAGGCCTGCATGCTCATTTCCTCCCACTTCTCTGTTTGTTTTGTGGACTCCAGAGTGGCCCAGGCATCCCACTACTGTACCTCAGCTTCCTCTGTAGGTTGTGCCCCTGCGTTGCCTTGCCTGCTGAGAGATGGTAGTATCACACATCTCTGATAGGGAATTTGGATACCTTATTTACTTCAAAGCCTGTGATGCTGGAAGCAGGGAACACACGAAAACATGAGCAGCTAGAGTCCAGACTGGAGAACAAATCCCTCACAGCCTAAGAGCTCGGTTGCAGGGCGATGCAGGAAGTCATTTCCCTGAGAACTCCCCTGCAGATGCTCTGTACTGTTGATTGCACCTCCCTGTTAATTATTTCTAATGTCAAGACCTGTCCGTCTCCCTTTATCTTTTACTTTAGGGTCTGCAGTTTTTCTTTTTCATTATTAGTCTTCTTACATTTCTTGCTTTCTCTTTTTTATTCTGAGTATATAGCTTCTTTTTCCAGTCTCCTTTCTTTTAGACTCATGTTTTTTCCTTTTCAAAATGTTTTTGATTGGAGTGACCAGTCTTCCTGGCTTGCCCAGAACTAAGGGTTTTCTAGATTTGAGATAATTTGGTGCTAAGGCTGCAGCGGTTTTAGACAATCTGGCAGGTTGGACGCCTTGTCTTTTTTATTATTCCTGGCTTTCCAGCATTCATTACCTTTTTGCCTTTCTTTGCCTGTTTCTCTCCTTTGGATTTTTTATCTTAGTGTTTCATCCATTTGTGTTTGTTTCATTTTGGGAAGCGTTAAGGAGGGAATAGGTAGACACAGGTGCCTTGTACTGTCATTGTGGAAGGAGCCGAATCAGAGGGCTTTGGAACTTGCCTTTTTTCCCCCTTCTGTAGTTACAGGTGCTCTGTAAAGTGCATGGATTTAGGAAGTTATGGGTGCTTGGTTCTTACTTTTACACATTCTCTGAAACTAGACATGCCAGGTGACCTGAGCAGGGAGAGGACATTGTTGGTCAACTTCTCCAATGTGATTGATGGTCCATTGGGTTGTTTTCTATGATTTTGTTTTGTCTTATTTTACGATTATGTGTGTACCACACTTCAGAGTCATAGATGCTTCCTGTTGGAAATCTCCTTTTGAAAGAAAAATTTTTAAAGAGTTTCAAAAAAAGCTTTTGGAAAAAAATTTTCTAGAAACAGTGTTTGAAAAGCTGTTGGAAGGCAAGACTTGCTGATTTTCTTTTCTTTTTTTTTGTATCAAGAATCAAACTTAGGACCTTGTGTTTTCAAAGCAGTCACTTGTACATTGAACTATGTCCTGGTCCAAAACTTGTTGATTATGAATCACACTTTTATGTTTTATTTGTAAAGTATTATTATTTTTTAGAGAGTTATTTCAGGACTCTTGCCCTTGTGGCTTGGCAAGATTCAGAGAAGCAGTAACAAATAGCATCTGACTTTTTTAAACTGTTGGAGCCAGTTCTTTAAATGGTATGTATGCTGTGCTCTGCGTGTCGTGAGAATAGGTTTAGGAAATAAAGTCATAGCTATTGTGTTGACTTCTTTCTGCTTGTGTTAGACAGGTGAAGGAATTCAATCTCTGCTGTGATTTTATGGTTACTTTGTAGTTAGTAGGCAGTACCAAAGATAAATGTTATTTGTTTGAGTTACCTAAGACAATTCACAAACCTAATGGTAGTTATTTAAAATGTGCCTTAGAAATATTTTCTCAGATGTACACAAATAAGACTATATAAAGCTTTTATAGATGAATATGTGAACAGTTCACACCTAGCTGGGTTGTTTTTATATAACTAGGTATAATTATGAAAAATTTAAGTTGAAATCTCTAATATCGTATTTTAAGTATTCCTACCACTAAAAATGATATGTATTTGTTGTAATGCACAAGTTACCTTGGTTTATCCATTCGACAGTGTGTATATATTTCAAACATTACATACCATAAATCTATGTAGTTTTTCAATTTTTTTAAAAAAAGCTTGGGGCTGGGGATGTAGCTCAAGTGGAGTGTTTGGCTAGCATTCATGAGGCCCTTACTGTATTCCTAGTACTGAAAAAAATGAATGTTTCCCAATATATCCTAAATTATAAGTGTTCTAGCAAGAACTCACACCTATAGTCATGTCCAGACAAGGAGCTAGTATTAATACCTGAAAACAAATGAGCCATTAATAAATGCTTATCTTGTGGTGACTTTACTTGATTATGGATTAGCAGTCAAGAGGTATGTGTGCATGTGTGGTGTATGGATATTTGACACAACACAGTACTATAGGCTGAGAAACAGCATCTCCCTATATTTAGGCAAATCCTGTGTCCCATTATTGTGCTTTCAATGTGTAAAGCACAACAGAAATTTATTTCTTAAGTTCAGCATGAGTAACTTTATTAGTGAAATAGTGTTGCATGGAGCCAAAAGTCTAGGAGGACATGTGTATACACAGTAACCGTTCAGTAATTGGTTGAATTTTGAGAGGAAAAAGCCCTGTGCTAATGATCACAAAAAGGGCAGAAGGACATGCTGAACAGGAGAACAGAATTCAAGAAACTTAAGTCCATAAGTAAAAGTTCCCATGCAGCCTTTAGATATGTGTAGAATGGAGTGGCTTATAGAGACAGCTTTTTTGTTTTTACTTAAAGATACAATGAAGTTTGACTAGAACTTGAAATTCAGACTAGTGGGATTTAGGTTCTTTAGGAAGATTACTTCAACCCTCTCCTTATGTTTGTTTTCTTCTCTTTGAAGCCAACCAAAATATGAGATAGAAAACAGTGAATTTTAACTTTTAATGTGATTTACAATGTGGTTGTTATAGATACTCATTTATGTAAAATACAACAAAGTTTATATAATATACAGGTATACTGTACTTACACTTTGTAAAACTGGGGAATAATTTAAACAGAGTAGAGAGCATTGGGCACTGTACTTAAAATATCCTACAACTTTTACCAGGGTGTATATTAACTCTTGTTAATGGATAACAGGAATTATCATAGTGGATCACCATACAAAGCATGTGTTGATGTACCAGTAATTATTAATAAAAGATGAACTTATTATCTTTTAATGGCTTATGAAATTGATATTTATATTTTTTTCATTTTTGCTTTATATGATATTAGTTTCCTTTTAATAAAAAATTCTGTAAATGATTTATATTGTGTCAAAACAAGTAGTGTAGTGTTTATTTGTAGTATATTAGTCATTCTGTTGTTTGGATAAATAATCATGGAATTTAATAATTACAGATCTTCCCTGGCTGTTCACTTTTAATGTGAAGTTTTATCCTCCTGATCCTTCTCAGTTGACTGAAGATATCACCAGGTACTTTGTATTTGCATTTCAGAATGAATCTTTACTTATAGCTTTCATTAATTTCTATACTTTTGGAGCATGGTGGTAATTTCAGGATTGAAAACTCAAATCATTTACAAATTAAGTTTGTGGTACTCTCCCAAATAGTTTGAAATGTTGCCAGTTTCAAAATTTTTTTTTTACTGTTTCTTTTTTCCCTTTATATTTTAATAATAAAAATGTTTTTAAAGATGATATTGCAAGAGCTTTGTTTCCTGTGTTCTACTTTAAAAATGGATTCATATTTAGTATTTCAGGTTTTAGTAGTAAGGTGGTTTTGTTGTATAAACGTGTGCTCGTGTACTAGTCTCATGTTGTAAAGATGACACAAGTGTAAATAGATAAAAATTTAAAAATCAGTCATGCTGTCCTCCTACTTCTCCTATCCTTCTCCCCATTCCTAAAATAAAAAAAAAACATAAAGTTAAAAGGGCAGACTGTCTTCAGTAGAATCAGTAGCTGTTTCATTTTCATCTTCTCTGAAATTATGTAGCTTTAAGAACGTATGTGTAAGTTGCAAACAAAGGATTCAGTTTAGGGGCAGAGTGTATTTATTGATCCTGAGTGTGACTGAGACCAGGAACCAGGGACATAGGACCACAGTGCACAGACATCTTAGCCCTGTTAGACTGGGTAAAGGAGAGGGCATTTTAGCATTGTTAAGAACAAGTGTAAAGAGTGGTTCTTTCAGAAAACGAGGAGGATCCAAACTCATCTTACATCTTGTTTCTGCTGGACCAGTTTTGTTGTTAGACATCAGGTTGTGCAAATGCCGAGAAAAGTGTGATATTCATATGAGATAAGAATGATGGAGATTAGAAACATAGCAAACTGGTTTTTGTTTTGTATTTTTCGCCTTCCTTTATTGCTTGTTATTGAATAGAAATGTACTACAGAACTAATTAATTGCTACTAACATACTAATTAAGTTCTGATTGAATTAACTTGAGGTAGTAAATAATAAATAGCTTTTAAAACTGCACAGCAAACTGCCAAGAGTGTGTAAACACTGTCAGGCCAGCTGCACAACGCAGAATTTCACTCCGGGGTGCTTTTCACATGGAGGCGCAGCAAACACAGGGCCTTTTGACCTCATACACTCTCTGCACATATGCTTCTTGCAGTAATGTGTTTGGAGGCCTTAGCCACTTGTTGCTGGAACAAAATACCTGACAAGTTTATTTCAGCTCACAATTTGGAGAGGTTTTAGTCCATAGTCAACTGGCTTTAAAGGAGGGTGGCATGGCAGAGGGACTTCACAGAGGAAAAACAGCTCATGGTAGCGGGTAGGAAACTGTGAGGCAGCAAGCAGCAATAATAGCAAGCCTGCCTGCCTTTATTTCCCCTTATACAAGCCTGTTGATTGGTGCCGCCACACCTAGGATGGGGCTTCCATTTTCCCACACCCTCAAGCCCACTCTAACAATCTTAATCTACATCTTTTGAAATTCCCACCCATGAGCTCATTGAGTTTTTAAGACGATAACTAGATCCAAGCCATGACAGAGATAACTGTCATTTTGTGATTGCAAGTCTGTTGCATTGGTAAGAGCTTTGACTTTTCAAATAAATGGGACTTTCAAATAATCTCCCGTTTTGCCCATGCTTATAACCCTAGCACTCTGTGAGGCTGAGCCAGGAGGGTCGTAAGTTCCTGCCCCACTTGGATAAGATAGTGAGATCTTGTCTCATTTTAAAATAAAATAAAATAAAATAAAAAGGAGTATGTCTGGGAAGGTCTGGATTCACTCTGTAGTTCCAAGGGGAAAAAATTCCTTGCTGGCATGAGAGGCATGAGAGGCTATTGTATTGTGTAACGCCTATGGTATGTGCTGTGTTTGGGGGTAGACAGCCCAAATGTCAGAATTAAAATCTTCACCATAAATTGAGTGAACATTTAAAAGGTGGGGTAGGCTTTGAGGAGGTCCAGAACACTACTCAGAATAATGTTTGAAGAATGCTTTCTCATGGTGTATGATGAAAATAGGGCTAAGAAATTGAGATGCCTTACCTGAAGGCATTTGTACATTTGTAGGACTAATGCTTTCAAAACAGAGGAGGGGTACAGGGAACCATTGTGAGAATCAGAGAGAGTGATACAAAAAAGGGCAGCAAGATAAAATTTGTTTAGGTTCTTAGTACCGTAGAATAGGAAGAACCAGCACAATTGTTGGTTAGAGAATTTGAAGATAATTGGAATCATAGTTTAAAATTTAGTTTTTAAAGTAAGTATAATTGTGCTTTTGTACTAGGGGCTAAGGAAATACAATCTCCTTAAAAAGACAGCTCCTGCAATGCATAAAAATTATAATATTAGAGGGAAAACGTTATTAAACTCTTAGAAAATGATTGAGCATTTGCCAGTTTTTTGTTAAGTGTTGAATGTATGGTGATAACCAGAGCCCCTGCCCTTTCTGAGTTGTAATTCAGGAGTGACTGAGCTAAACGGGAGCCGTGGGCAGGGAAGTGCCTTCTGATTCATTAATAACAAGGCCTGGAACATGTTGATGGAGAGCAACAAGAAGATTGAGCCTTAAAACCCAGAAAAATTGTTCACAGGAGGAAGGTGGCCAGTAGAAATGACAGTCTCTTAAAACATCTTCAAGAATGAGGGTTCTACCTTTTTTTTTTTCCAGAACAGTTAGTGTACACCTTAGTAAGAAGTGAAATTTAAGAGTAGAAATCTAAGATGTCACCAAAAGGAATAGATAGTGGGGCTGAGGATAACCAAAAAGTATGCATAGAATATAAATCATGTTTCTGCATATTAATTTAGTGGGAAATTATCCCTGCATATTCAAATGCTTGGATTGTTGAGAAACAGCTGTTGTTATCCTAGCCACTAGCTATGGATTCCCAGATATTTTGATACTACCTTTTACTCTTACCTTCAAAGGAAGGTAGAGCTTTTCTCTTCTTCCCTCCTTCCCTCCCCCCTCTTTTTTTGAGACAGGGTCTTACTATATAGTTCAGGCTGGCCTTGAGCTCACTTTGTATACCAGACTGGTCTTAAAACTCATAACAGTCCTCTTGCCTCAGCCTCCAGTGCAGGGATTATAGACGTGTGCCATCATGCCCAGCCTTTACCTTTTTAAAGGCAGCAGAATAGCATCAGACCAGTGATTACCTTGCTCAAGTTCACATAGAGTTGGTTATTTGTAAGTTTAGGGCTCTTTCTATAGAGAGCTCTTTCTTACTTTAGGGCCCTTTCTCTTTCTATAGAATGGAGCCTACTTCACTTTCTATAGAATGGATAAGTTAGTGGACAAGCAAGGGCTTTAGAGCACATTCAGTAAAACTCGTTTGTAAAGACATTTCAGGAGAGGAAGAAATTGCAAATGATTAAAACTCCAGGGACTTTTATATTTCATTAATATTTAAAACTTTTAAAATACACAAATTTTTCTTTCGTTTTTTTTAACTCAAACGACAGTTGAAGTGGTTGAAATGTTTATATCACTCAGAAAACTTGATTTTAATATTTATCATAGACTACTATCAATATAGTAGTTCAGAATTTCCATCTTTTAGCCTTCTGATGTTTCTATAAAAAGCTATAAGCTTAGGAGTTCAAGTAGCGAGGTGAGCCTTCTTGTTAGAGAATACTTTTTGCTGAGGGTATGAAGAGTGTCTATAATGTATGTTTGTTCCCATAGGGGGAGTAGAATATAAGAGATCTGAATGATAGCAACAAGATGTTAACTACTCCTGTCTTCTGACCCTTCCTCTCTCTGCTCCTCACAGATACTTCTTGTGCCTTCAGCTCCGGCAGGACATTGCCTCTGGCCGCCTGCCTTGCTCCTTTGTAACTCATGCTCTTCTGGGATCCTACACACTGCAGGCTGAACTTGGAGACTACGACCTGGAAGAACATGGCAGTGTTGACTTCAGTGACTTCCAGTTTGCCCCTACCCAGACTAAGGAGCTGGAAGAGAAGGTGGCTGAGCTGCATAAAACCCACAGGTCTGTCAGCTTGCTTGCTGGAGAGAGACTCACCATGGCAGATTTAAAGTTTGTAATGTGGAAATTCGAGCACTATTTCTGATATTATCCAGCTTTTCTATTAGTGGGTCACCTAGCACTGATCACCACAGCCTGCAGCTCTTATGGTAGTCTTTCAGTGTTTTATGATTATAGCATGAAAGTAAATCTCTCTCTCTCTCTCTCTCTCTCTCTCTCTCTCTCTCTCTCTCTCTCTCTTTTGGAAAAAAATGTAGTTTTCCATATAACATTTTCTTTGCTCTTTCCATAGTTCCATCCCTTATCACACCTATATACAGGAACCAAGTATAATTGTTTTGGCCTTTACATTTCTTTTGCCTTTTATTGCCACTCATTGTGCTTGATAAGAGAGCCAGGGAGATAGCAAAGCATTGGGATTTAAACTAGAAGTGTGAGTGGTGGTGGACATAGGAATAGTACCTGACGTGTATAGGTGAGTCCTCCAAGCACAGATGCTGCCCCTTCTTCAGGTGTGGATAATGTAAATTAATGCCATAGACATACTGTGTACTTTAAAAAAAAAAAATTCATTCATTCATTCATTCATTCATTCATTCATTCATTCATTTATTTATTTGGTACACTGTCTCGCTACGCAGCTTGGACTAGTAGTGATTCTCTTCTCTCAGCCTCCCCAGCACTGGGATTACAGGCATGCGCCACCACGCCCGGTTTCAGTGGCTGGCACAGCATGCGGTACCTAGGATTAAATCCAGGTCCTTGGTGCTTGCCAGACAGGCGCTTAGACCTCTGAGGTATCTCCCCAGCCCTTGTACTTTCTAAAAAATCTCTGTGAAAACAGATGTTTTCCATGAGCTTTGATAATGATAGCTACAAAATTGTAACTTGTCTTGCAAAATTTTAGTTTTATAAAATCTTGACTAAAATGATTTATAAATAACTCTGAAGATATTCAAGTTTTCAAAAAGAGGCCAAGTTTATTGACCTTTAAAAAATAATAAATGCAGTATCTGACTCTTAAGTATTTTCTCATTTGCTTTATACAAATTCTATTCAAGGGGTATTCTGTAATTATAGTTTGAAATGTCAGGTGCTGAAATACCTTACAGAATGAAGACTAATCAGTCCTTTAGGAGACTTAAAATGTGTTTAATTTTGGACATAAGTCTGAATGGAAATAACCTTAGTATGAAAAGGATATGTTATTTATCAGAGGTGTAAAATCAAATACAAGTAATTCTGACCTTTACAATGATCAGTCTCAGCAAAATAAAATGAGGATATGAATGTCTACCTCAGAAGGAGGAAATCACTGTTTTATGCCTAGTTATGGTGTACCTGTTATTTCTAGTGCTTTTCTCTAGTGGAAATGATCCAAAGAAACCCTTTAAAATAAAAATGGTGCGGGCGACAGGTGTGCCTCCTCGCAGGGAGCAGGTTAGGGGCACTTTGTGGAAAATTCGGGAACTTGAGAGTAGCCCACTTTCTGCACTTAGCTGTGTTACTTTCTCTGCCTCAGACTCACTGGGCTCACACTTCCCTCATTTGAGCACATATGCTCTGCATCCACCAGTAAGACAAGAATGTTTCTTTTGTTTTTTCAGAGGCCTGTCTCCAGCACAAGCCGATTCCCAGTTCTTAGAAAATGCAAAGCGGCTTTCCATGTATGGTGTGGACCTGCACCATGCCAAGGTACTGTAAATGTAATTGGAAGTAGCACTGTTATAGTCTATTGACTGAAGGCTGCACAAGGCTGTTTCACTTGAAGGTCTCTAATGTTTCTTTTTTTTTGACCTCTTTTTAAAAGAACTTATAACAATAAAAGATACATTGCCATTAACCCATCTCAAAATACTCCTCTTGCTTTGTGCACTCTTACCCAATTGTTCTTTTTTTTTTTTTTCGGAACCGGGGATTGAACTCAGGCCCTTGCGCTTGCCAGGGAAGCGCTTATTCCACTGAGCCATCTCCTGGCCCTATTACCCAATTGTTCTTGCCGCTTTCTGAGGCAGTTCTGCAGGTCCTCTTTCATGACAATCTTTGTTGTGGTTGCCCTGATATCTTCACTGACTTGAAACATTTACCTTTTATGTTCATTTGGGCTTTGGGGAAGAGCCAGAAACCACAGGGTCTAGAGAACAAGGCAGGTGAGGGCACATTGTGCTTGTTTTCATAAGCCTGCCTTTTCATTGACTGCTTTCAGCAGCAGCGATCACTGTACTTTTTAATTTTTTAAAATTTTTTGTGTTTTAGGGAGGAGTCTACAGGGTGTTCAGGGTCTCACTACTAGATTGGACTTGTAGTGATCCGCCTGTTTACAGCCTCTAAAGAGCTGGGATTACAGGCTTGCGCCACCATGCCCAGTCTCAAATGTCATCTCAGTGTGCCCCAGGGGCGGGGCTGGCACAGCAGGTCTGGGGATTGAAGCCCCGGCCCCTGGACCTGCTTGTAGGCACTTTAATCTGCTGAGCTATTTGGCTGGCCCTTCACTGTACTTAAAAAAAAAAAAAATTGTTAGTACATTATATGTGATCCATAATAAATACATTCATCATAGGGAGTTTGTAATTATACATTTTAATCCTTTTTATTTTTCTTTGCTTTTTTCTTCAACCTTTCTCCATTCCTAGATCCCCTTTCTATTCTTCAAAATGTCTCTCTCCTATCATTTGTAATAATAATAAATTATTTATATTTGGGTTTCACATATTGGAAACCATGGGATATATTTAACCTTGTGTATCTTATTTCAGTTGGCATCATATCTTCAAACAAATGACTCAAACTTAATCCTTTTTTATGACTGGGTAGTATTCTATTGTGTACATTTACATTTGCTTTATCCGTTTGTCTGTTGATGGACAGATAAGCTGCTTCCAATATTTAACTGTTGTAAGTTGTTTTGACATTGAGAGTTATTGCTTTATGGTGCTCACTGAATCTTGTCACTGCATTATTTTTCCAGTGCTGATTGCTCAGTTTTTTTCCTTTTGTGTACTCCTCTACTTAGATGTCCTCTTTCTAACTGTTGCTGCTCTTGGTCTTCGTATCTCTGACTTCATTTAAGTATTTTCTGCAATGCTGGTTTAGTTGCCATGCTTTTTTAAAAAGCCTTTCTTTGTTATGAAAAGCTGTAATTTGATAGGACTCTATCCCAGGACTCCCTGACCTATCTCTCCGTGCTAAGGGTGCTGGGACAGGTACATTCTGGGTGGTGAATTTTCAGTGGGCACACATTGCAGCCTCCTGTAGCTAGCTGGTGCCTGGGCTCCACTCGCCTTGCATCTCCTGTCCAGGGTTTGGTCACCTCCCCTTGAGCATGCTCTGTGGGTTTGGATCTCCTGGTTCACTGCTGCGGGTGTAGCAAGGCCAGGTTCTTTTTTCTTTTCTTTTGTCTTCCATATTTCAGATTTTATTGGTTGTGTTGAGGATCAGTACAGATGATTCACTTTGTACACAGTTCTTAACACATGTGCCAAAAAATAAAGCCATGTTTTGTTGTTCAGTTTATTCAGTGACTTTCCAGCTTCAAATTTGGAGACAAATTTTTCTTTAAGAAGATTAAGTACCAGTATCTTCAAATTCTGACAAAGTGTTACTTAAGTCTCACTGATTCACAATTTTGTATCACATATACTTCATACTCACATTTTCTGTCTTTCCCAGCACATTAACAAAGTTAGACCAACTGGACTACCATTGCCAGAGATGTTACAATGTGCACAGGGCAACAATCAGGAAGTAGTAGGAAATAATTCTACTAAAAACAACATGGGAATTGAAGTCATTTAAAATATCCAAGACATATTTAATGCATGATTGTGATTCCAAATTGCCATTTGGTATGACTTGAGTTGCAGGATATAAAACTAATGCCCACCTATGGACTGTTAAGCTGACATCCAAGATAGTCAAAGCCTGACGATTCAATATTCAACTATTTTCTGGTTATACCAAAATATAACCAGAGAATGATTTCATCTATATAAATATCATTTACATTTAAAGACTGTGATGAGGTAGGATTCCCTCGTTTTTAAAAAAAATTTCTAGAGCTACTAAAAAAGACTTGCATTTATAAAAGAGTTGATAAAAATACTCCTTTGGTTTGTACAAGAAGGGAGACAGCACAGATAAGACACAGTGTGTGATAAATCAGACTTGACTTCTCTTCTCTGTCCTCAGAGGCTATACACTCCTCATTTTTAGTTTCTCCATTTTCCTCAGGTCAGTCTTCCTTGGATTCTTGATTAGCCAGTTTGGCCTGTTTTCCCTTGATTCCCCTTTTCCCTTTTGCTTACACGTTTTTGTCCAAAGATTTATCCATTCGTTCTGCCCTTTTTGGCTGTTTCCACTTTTGCAGGAGCAGGTTTAGCGGACAGCCTCACCAGTCTTCTCCTGGGTTCCTCTTTTGCCACCCCTTCTGCACAGCTGACCTTCCTCTTGGGTGTCTTGGTGGTGTGAGGGGTCTGTGAGGAAGCTGTGGGCCAATGTGCAGGGGAGCCTGGTGGAGCTATGCTGCTAGCTGCTGCTGCTCCTTGAGGCCCGAGGTTTCTGTCTGGCTTCCTTCCTTTGCCTCACCTTCTTCCCTCCAGAGATTAGATTAACCCCACCCCCACCCCCACCCCATACCATGTTCCCTGCAGCTAAGCTGGGGATTAACTGGGATTGTTTTGTTTTGTTGCTTAATTTCTTTCTGCTGTATTTTCCCTTTTCCTGTTTCTGAATACTTGCAGGTCCTGGCAAGCAACCTCTAGAGTGACGTGTGAGCGCTGACAGCTTTTACCTGTCATCTTCCTCCCCTCTGTAATGTTTTCTTGGTGGCTAGTTGTGATTTTCTTGGTTGCGGGAAGAATGGTTATTCTCCGCATACCTCTTTGTCTCTTCCCAGGTGTTTATAAGTACCCTTTCCTAGGTACTTATTATAAAACTCACCTAGCAACCTTTTTATCCTTGTCTTCTCATCTTGATTGGTTCTGCATCCCAACTTGTGCTGGGCCAACTGCTGCTGCTCTGCTCCCTCTGTTTTGGGAGGGTAGACCAGATCTTAGCAAGCAAGAAAGCAGAAAAATAGCACAAAAGATTGTCCAGAGAGGACCAGCTTGAGCGAAGGTGCTCTCACAGGAACACAGCCCTTATGCTACCCCCTGCTGGGGATCTGGGTGTTAAGTACTTGACCCTGCTTCCCTTTCTCCCCTGGATCTGGTGCAGAGCCTTTGGTGTACTGAACCCACACAGGAGCCAGTGGGCACAGGATCTTTTTGGTGTCCTTGTGGCTGCTTCCTGAGGGGCAGCAAGCACAGTGAGAGGGGGCTCTTTTCTCAAGGTCTTGCTGGCTTTTGTGCAGTGGCGTCACTCAGACATGGAGCATTAAGGCATGCTCTTCTCTCTTTACCTCACACCCCTTCTCTCTAATTCCCATTCATAAAAATACTGATAACTCTAGAATAACTAATATATGTGGAGCACCAACCCAGAATCAACCAATTTAATTGAATCCCACTGGTGTCCTTGTCCTGCCTAAAGATCACTTCAGACCACAGGTGCCTTGTTGAGTGTCTCCACTCAGGCTCCCTCATGTCCCAGAGATGCTGGCCTGGGATATCTTTCACCTTGTTCCTCTGGCCATAGAGTCATGTTCTTGGCAAATGCACCATTTGGCTGTGGTGTCAAGTTGCCTGGACACCTCCGCCTAATTCACACCAGCTTTCTACATTATTCCTAGAGGGTGTTGTGGCTGCCAGGGTAAGAGCGAGTAAAGCAGCATTATAGGTTAGTCCTTCTAACCTGCTCAGGTTGGTCCAATGTAATTTTATTTGTGCAGTTCTATATAAATTATTCAAGTATCTCAACTGAGAAATTAGTATCAGTTGCCTGGTGCTATACCTTAATGAATGTAAATTCTGTTAAATTATGCTTAATAATAAGGCTGTCAAAATGTTATGCTTTTCTTGTATTGGGATTTAGACTAAGGGTGATGTTGTTCCAGCATTTTCTTGATGAGAATTTATTCCATGTGAATGATTTTCCAAAATTTGAGTATCTATGAGTAGTACTTTTCAAATTTTACATGGAGATACGCATTTCTGAAAGATAGTGATTTGTGTGTTTTGAATAGTATGCATCTTAGATACTCAGTTCTGTTTAAAAACTTAGTTTTCATTTTTGTGTGTAAATTATTTGGTTTTTAAATGTCTTTCATGTTTATAATTATTCTAGATTGTCACCTATTTGAAATTAAAACTCAGTGAAAGAAAACTATTAATAACATCAAAAATAGTCTGCAGCCCTTTGAACTATGCCAGCCAAAGGAATGCTAAATGAGAACTGGATGTCAATACTCTTACATTACTGAAAAATTGCTTAAAAGAATTCTAACATTTGCAAAACACAAACATCATTTTAACATCTACCAGCTAGCATAATCCATGTGAGATAAATCCGCGTAAAGTAAAATTGGTTGCCTGCACTTTGGGCCAGCAGACCATCACAGAGGGCTGGAAAGGCCTCTGGGAAACCATTTTTATATTCTGTATCTTTAAGATATCCAAAGCTAATAGTGTTTCCTTCATTCCTGGTAAGCTCTTCATAGAAATAGATCATAAGAAATTATGGCTTCTGAAAAGTACTGTGTTGTCTACTCATGTTGCAATAATTGTTTGGCTAGTCAGATTCATCCCTAAAGATAAATAGATTTAGAGTGTGTGTGTGTGTTTTATACTTGTGCCATTGACTCATATAATGTCACTAAAATTTAAATACAGACCTGTTTCCATTCTCAGGTGTGCTTTGAGGGGACTAATCTGTCTGTGTTACTGTGAATACCTCTAACTGTGGTCCAATGGGTTTTGCTTGGCAGGATTCAGAAGGTGTGGACATCAAGCTGGGTGTGTGTGCTAATGGCCTTCTCATTTACAAAGACAGACTGAGAATCAATCGTTTTGCTTGGCCGAAAATCCTGAAAATTTCCTATAAGCGCAGTAATTTCTACATTAAAGTTAGGCCAGCAGAGGTAAGCAGTGTACACTTAGCACATCTAATCAATTGGCAGTGCTCTCCTTTTAAAGGATCCTTGGTGGATCCTTTTCACTGAAGTCATAAGAAAATGAACCGTTATTTTTCTGTGATTAAAAAGGTCAGAGTTCTTGATAAACCTGCATGCTCAAATTCCTATTGCTAAAAATCCATAATACTACCCGATTTTGCATTAAAAAAATAAGCCTAGCACATAGTGTGTGCTTGATTTTTCTTGCTGAGTCAGTCACATGGTGAAGAGCAGTAGAAGGGTGCTTGGAATTCTGATGGGGGAGTAAAGAGTAGTTGGTGTGTGCGAGTAGTTAATACTTGCTTTTCATGGACAATGCTGTTGCAGTCTATGAAAAATTTAATTTGCTATGATTTTGTTGGACAAACTAATATTTACCTTGGTGAACAATTACTTCTTACAGAAACAACTAATGCATGTTTTTGGTAGCTTCTTATCACTGCCTATGGAAACCTGCTGACTTGTGTTACGGATTTCTTGCAGCTGGAACAGTTTGAGAGCACCATTGGATTCAAACTACCAAACCATCGGGCAGCGAAAAGACTATGGAAAGTGTGTGTGGAGCATCATACTTTCTACAGGTAATGCTCGCAGGCTGCCTGGCTTTGCTGTTGCTCTTCTGTGCAGACTGGAGTGCGGCAGACCCATCAGCCCCTGCTGAGGGTTCTTCATTCTTAGGGCCACATCTCCCCTGTCACAGGCAGCCTTTTTCCATGTCTCTTTCCATTACCTAAGGCCATGCTATGGTCTGTCTGCAGTTGTTCAGGACTATTTTCTGCATCACCAGCTCCATCACACTGCCCCTTCCCTGCTGCATTTCTGTCACTCATCTGAGGTTTAATTTAGGTAGATGGTCTTGCCAACTCCCTTCTCACTTCATTTCTTATCCAAGCCAGCCTGTCTTCTCTCCTACAGGCTCTCTTGTCAGGAATATTCAAACCCCTCCATGTTCTTATCTTCTTTGTATGTCTGTGTTTCTCATCTGCTGGTGCTGTCTTCACCTGTGTTTGTGCTGTCTGATGCTACCTTAGGTATTTCTTACAACAAAATAATCATAGTAATACAGCTGTGTAGATTGATGCTGTTAAGATAATTTCTTTCTTTTCTTTCTTTTTTTTTTTTTTTGATGCTGTTAAGATAATTTCCAGCAGTAGCTAGATCCTCACTTCTGGTCAGCATACCTGCCTATCTAGCATGCATAAGGCCCTAGTTCAATCCTCATTGTCACAAAAGAAGAAAAAAAAAATAAGGAAGCCATTTGATGTTTAATTTCGAAAGGTGCAAATGGCTTCCTTTTCTTGCCACTAACTAGTTCTGAGTGCTGTATAGGGATTAATTCTTTTAATCTTTACATCTGTGGAATGAAGGCTATCATCTTTCACAGAGGAGAAGCTGAGGCACAGAGAAGTCGAGTAGAGTGCCCTGATCACATAAATAATAGCTGAGGGAGGTAGAATTCACACTCAGTAGTGTGATCCTGGTGCCCCAAGTGTGTCCTGTGTGGTGTTGCTTGCATTTCTCAGTGCCCCCACCCCCAGAGCCCTGAGTGCTATAGGCAGGAGCTGTGCCCCTGAGCTCTCCAGCCTGTTGTTTTTCTGGTAGGGTCATAAGCAAGAGATAAACGTGAAGTCCTTCCAGCTAGATGATAAGCTATCACTTAAACCTGGTATCAGAGTAATCCCAGGGTCTTACTGTCATCAGCTGTGCTAGAGAGAGCGCTTCACAGAAACCTGGGCCCTGGCTGTGATTAATTCTAGTTATTGGTGTGGGGTGCTGCTTAAAATGTTCCTTTATTTTCTGTAGATAGATAATGGTACTTTGTAATAGAGTTTTATAAAATTAAGATATTTATATATTGCTTAAGCAGTGAATATGTAAAACTTGATTTTTTTTGTGTTATTAATTAAATCACTTTGCGCAAGGCCTTTAATACTCTGTAAAAATTACTACTTTTGTGTAGTTTCTGCATTCTCAAAACAATGATAGATGCCTTACAGTGATTTTTATGTTGTTATAAAGATAAGGTCGCAATGCAGGTCTTTATGTGGAGAATAATAATAAATATAATAAAATAAAATTGAATAGGATTGAAATACTTTGTTGCTAGGCCTACATTTTCTTAGAAAATTTACCGTTATCACCTCTGACTTAAGTCACCAAAAGAATGCTTTCGGAGAAAGCTAATAATGCAGTGTATGACTTTTCTTTTTCTGCATTGTGGTATGTCTTTGATTTTTAGGTGTTTTCCTTATATTTATTTTGTTAAAATACCTTATACAAAGCGAATTAATTGATAATTTTTTTTGCATTTAAATGACAATCAGTTATCTGACCATTACCTTAATGCAAATAAATTAGACTTAAAAAAAAGTAGAAGTATGGAATTCTTTGTAGTAGGCTTAGCTACTGGGCTTGTTAGCTGTCTATTCCAGCCTATACGAATGGAAGGTTACCTTCAGAATTGGGAGAAAATGCACAACAAAAACAGCAACCCCATTTAAGAAAAAAAATATTGTTTCATTAAATTAAGACTCAGCTATTCTGTAGTAATTTTTACAGAGTGTATGTGTCATAAATTGCAGGATTTGTCTTCTTCAGTGCTAAGGAGACACTGCAGAGCTGGCCACAGTGCTGTGTGCTTGTAGTGACAGCTGCTGGGGAGGATCACATACTGGTCAGCTTGAGATCAGCCTCAGCTGCTGCCAGGACTTTATCAGGGGAAGAGCGAGGCGAGGGGCAAGGGAGAGAACACAGAAGGGTGGGCATTTTGACAGGTTATCTTCACATTGTCTGGTATTCTAGTTCAAGTGTTCTCATATATTAATAGGTAAAAATAGACACTAGGGTCCTCCTTTGTATTTATTAAGTACCTGCTGTATGATGGTACCAGCATATATACGTAAAGTTACATAAAAGAATAATTAGAAAGTTAGGAGTCACTCATGGAGGTTTTCTTAATTTTCTTTACAATTGTTTTCTGAAATGACAAATTTTCTCATCTTTAAAAAAATTTTAGTTCATTTTCTAAAAGAAGATAATTATTTCAAGAAGATACAAGCTTTTACATAATTTACATACTGTTTAAAATATTTTCCTATTTCTGAAAACAGGCATCCTGTTTGTAGTTTTAAATTTTGTTTTGCAATTTTCTTTTGGGTTGTCAAATGTATGTTTCTCCTTTGAACTATTCTTTAAAAATTTACCATTTCCTTTAGTTGCTCACTCAGCAACTCGAGTGTACTTTATGGACAGACAATGTATTTCTCAATTGGTGCACTGATGAGCTCGTCAGAGGTGCCCCCCTCTCCTTTACAGGTCACCACCACCTGACAGATCATCCGTAGATCCTAGTTAGCAGAGTTGCTGGTGGGGAAGCCCAAATTTCTTGTACTCTGAATTCTAAATATAGTTATACAGCTTTTATTTTTTAAAACTCATTATCAACTTTATTGAAAATCAATAATAATTATATAGCAAATTAAAAATTATAGACAAATATTGAAATGTGAAAGATAAGATGTAGAGAGAGTGAATTTTAGGAAAATATTTCTGAAATGAATACATAACATGAGATTAATAATAGATTGCACATTATAAAAAATTATAAATGAATATAACAAAATTGTCTAATATAAACATGAAGAAGAGTTTATAGATCAATCATATAATAGTTCACTCTGTGCCAAGTCAAAAAACTTAAATTCATGTGATTAGATTTCTTAAAATAGAAGGGGATAGGCAATAAATATTTTTTTATTAACTTTATTGAAAATCAGTAATTACATATAATAAAAACTGTAGACAAATATTGAAATGTGAAAGATATGTAGAAGAGTGATTTTTAGAGAAATATTTCTGAAATGAATACATCACATGAGATTAATAAATTGCACACTGTAAATAAATTATTTACCAACTTAAATGAATGTAAGAATAAAAACTGACCAAAATAAAAATGAAGACGAAATCACAGATCAGTCATATAATAGTCTACTTTGTGTCAAAATCAAGAAACATATTCATGTAAGTAGAATTCTCAAAGTAAAAAGGGGTAGGCAATAAATATTTAAAGATTTAAAATTTCTGAATTTAGTTGAACTTATAACACCACATTTCCAAGAAAAACGAACCTTCTGCCAAGAAATTTGAATAAAATCATACCAAGATACACAAAAATGAAATTGTCCAAAACTTATTGTAAAAAAAAAAAAAGCATTAAAGCGTACACATAAAAAGTATTAGCTATGGAAGAACAAAATTAAAAAGCATCTTACTGCACATTAGAAAGAAAAAAAGATCAAGTGTGTAAGAAACTAGACTAGGGCCCGGGGAGATGGCTCAGTGGAATAAGTGCTTCCCTGGCAAGTGCAAGGACCTGAGTTCAATCCCCTGTTCCACAAAAACAAAAACAAAACAAAAAAAAAGAAACTAGATTAAAGGACTGAAAGAAAAAAATCTGTTCTCTCTGAATTTTATACTTAGCAAACATACCTTTGAATACTAAAAGTAAAATATTTTCCAGTTATATAAACTTCAAGTATTCTAATACCTCCAGACGTAGCATACAGGAAATAACAGAGCATAATTCAAAAGGCAAGAGAAGTTACAGTATGCTCCTAGATGAACAATAGAGCTCTCAAAATGATAGTTATGCAGGACTATATAAAATAAATTGGGTGAACCCTTATTTAAAAGGTCATTAAAGATTTCTATGAAACAGTACCAATCTTATGTCAGGTTATACACATTTTTTTTTAAATATGTGTGTGTATATAAAAGAACAGGGTGTATATATGTGTGTATATATCTGGGAAGAAATAATGCAGTCAATGGAAAATGGAAATATAATTTTTAAAGTTTCTAATCCTAGGAGAAAATATCATACCATGTCTTAAATAAATTGTAAGTCAAAGATATAGTATAAATCTTAAAACAAAAATTAAAATTAAGCAATGTTCAGAAAATTACATACTAATTAATTAAAAATTAAATGTTTCAAAACAGTTGAACTAAGAAAAAGTTTTCGTGATAGTAAAAAAGTACTAAGAGTAAAACATAAGATAAATACTGGAATGGCAAATAAATGACCAGCACTTCTAACAGTTTGGGGATAGGATATTGGACAAAGTTCTAGTATGTTGTGGACATGGATAATGTCCATGACACTTACTGGTGGCCAGGTGTCACTTGTGGGACTGAGCTACAGCTATTTCCTTGAAATCCACCCCGTAGACCCAGATGGAATCATGACCCATAGGGTACAGGAGAAGTCCATTTGTAGAGTGTACTGATGGAAATATTTTGCTGCTGCACACAAAAGAATAACTGAAAGACTACTTTTCTTTCTTTCTTTTTTTTTTTTTTAAGATTACTTTTCTATACCTCTTTTTCTCCTGTGTTTAATTGTTTGCCCTATTTGGTGGGTTCTTTCCATTCTCATTCATGGAGTTGTGATCATTTTGATTTCTCTCTAGAACATCATTTAGTAGTCTGTGTAGGCTTGGCTTTGTCATCATGAAATTCTAAAGTTGTTCTTTGTCATGAAAGTATTTCACTTCTCCATTATACTTGAAAGAGAGTTTTACAGGGTATATCAGTCTGGATTGGAATTTGTTTTCTTGCAAGACTTGTATTACTTTGCTCCATGTTCTTCTTGACTTCATGGTTTGTGAAAAGAAATCTGCCGTTATTCTGATGGGTTTGCCTATAAATGTGATCTGTTTCTTCAGCTGCTTTTAGTGTACTGTTCCTGTGCTGAATTTCTGGGATCTTGATTATTATATGTCTGGGTGTGGTTTTAATTGGGTTGATGTTATTTGGAGTTCTATATGGTTCGGTTACTTGAATGTCAGATTGTTTCCCCATATTTGGGAAGTTTTCTGCTATTCTGCCCATACTCTTTTTATGTCATTTGTATTGGCTCCTTCTCATTGATGCCTATTAGTCTCACATTGTTCATCTTTGCAACATCTTGCAAGTGATGAATTTTTTTTCCTGCATCCTAGTTGTTTCTAAGAGATCTTTTTTTATCTTTTCACTAGCTGCAATGGTGTTTTTAAAGGTCTGAAAGTCTATTTTCACTTTCACTGAAACGGTTTTGCCGGCTTGTGATTAAGGTTTTAATTTTCCATATATCACTTTGAATCTGCTTTATGCATGCTATTTCTTTCCTATATTGCTCATTCAAGGATTCCATCATTTTTACATTCTGCTCTTATTTTTATCAGTGTCTTCTTTAGAAGCACTTAGTATTTCATTCATTATAGTTTCTTTTTTTACTTCAGAAATTATTTCTTATCTGATTTCCTCAGTACCTTTCTGCAGTTGTTTCTTTACTTCCAACGCTATTATTTCGGAGATTTCAGGTGTGTGATTTCCAATTTCTTGTATGCTAGTGTCTTTTGCATTTGTTCCGGGTGGACTCAGGGCCTGAGACTGCATTTTGTTCCTTCTCTTTGCCATTTTGTATACCACTGTCTTCTGATCTTTGGTGTAGAGCTTAGATAGAGTTATTATTACCTTAGCACCCAGTGTGATCTACGAAGTTCAGAGTCCTCCAGGTGTGTGTGACTTGGGTCTGATTGCTGTGTTCCACTTCTTCCTGCTGCAGCCCTTGGAGGTGAAGCTTTTGTGCCACTCTGGCAAGATGGTTCTGCTCCTGAATTAGCTGGGTGGGTCTTACTCTAGCCTTTTTGCAGGGAGTTCTGATGAAGGGTTCCATGCAGTCCTGGGTGTGGGTCAAATGAGGATCTGGTGGGCCCCAGGTGGTCTCACTCACATGCCCGGCCTGTGCTCTGGGTCAAATGAGGATCTGGTGGCCCCGGTGCCTCTCACTCACACGCCTGCCTTGGGCTCTGGGTTGAATCGGCAATAAATATTTAAAGATTTTAAATTTCTGAATTTAGTTAAAATTATAGCACCACGTTTCGAAGAGAAATGAACCTTTTGAACAAGAAATAGGAATAAAAACATACCAAGGTACACAAAAATGAAATTGTCCAAAACTGATTGTAAAGAAATCATTAAAGCATATACATAGGAAAATAAAATTAGATATGGAAGAACAAAATTAACATCTTATTCCACATTAGAAAAAAAAAAGAGCAAGTAAGAAATTAGACATTTATTCAAAGGACTAAAAAAAAAAAAAAAATCTGTCCTCATTAAATTTTAAACTTTGCAAATGTACCTTTGAAAGCTAAAAGTAAAATATTTTCCAGTTGTACAGACTTGAAATATTCTAATACCTCCAGATGTAGCATATGGAAAATAACAAAGACCATAATCCAGAAGTTGCTGTATGGTCCTGGATAAAGAATAAAGATCTCTCAAAATGCTAGTTATGCAGGATTTTGTAAAATATAATTATATTAGACGAACCCATTTAAAAGGTCATTGAAGATTTCCACAAAACAGTATCAATCTTACATCAGGTTATATACATATTTTTCATATTTGTGTGTGTGTGTGTGTGTAAAAGACAAGAACTAATAAAAAGTCAATGGAAAGTGGAAATATACTTTTTAAAGTTTCTAATACCAAGAGAAAATATCATACCATGTCTTATAAGTACATTATAAGTCAGAGAAACCATATAAATCATTAAACAAAAATTAAAATTAAACAGTATTCAGAAAATTATTACAAGCAGGTGCAGGTGCCAGGGGTTCGATCCCCTGGGGCTGCTATGCTGGCCCTGCCCCTGGGGTGCACTGAGATGGCAATTGAGACTGGGCATGGTGGCATGTGCCTATAATCCTAGCACTTGGGAGGCTGTAAACAGGAAAATTACGAGTCCAATCTAGTAGTGAGAACCTGAACAGCCTATAGACCCTTCCCTAAAATAAAAAATGAAAATTAATTAAATATTCAAAATTAAATATTTCAAAATAATATTAAAAAATTTAAATTGTGAGTCCAACTAAGAGGCCAGATTGTAGTGTATCATATGTACAAATCTGTGATCAATTCAGAGTACTCACATATTATTTGATTAGTTCAATATACACAAAAATATCAACTAAGAAAAAGTTTTCATGATAGTAAAGAATTACTAAGAATAAAGAATAACAAAAATACTGGAATGGCAAATATATGACCAGCACTTCTAACAGTTTGGGGATAGGATATCGCACAATGTTCTAGCATGTGGTGGACGTGGACAGTGTCCATGCTGCTTACTGGTGTCCAGGTGTCACTTGTGGGACTGAGCTACTGCTATTTCCTTTGATAGCCACCCTGTAGACTTGGACAGAATCATGACTCCTAGAGTGCAGGAGAAGTCCATTTGTAGAGTATGCTGATGGGAATATTTTGCTGCTTTAATTGAAATACTGCTGTTGTATACCTCTTTTTCTCCTGTGTTTAATTGTTTGCCCTATTTGGTGGGTTCTTTCCATTCTTATTCACGGAGTTGTGGTCATCTTGATTGCTCTCTAGAATAATAATAATTGAATCCCAGTCCGTGTTTCTGCCTAAGCAGGTGCTTTAATCTGCTGAGCTATCTGGCCAGCCTCTCCAGCTCTTGATTAAACAATGAAAAAAGGCATTTTTATTTAGAAGATTGGCTTATTTACTGAAAATATGTTTTTGTGTAAGTCTGTAAATATTTGATGTTATGAACCTAGGACTAGCCCAGAATTGTCTGGCAAGAAAGAATGTTAGTCATCTCTGTGCATCAACTGTGTGTGCTATTCATCATGGGAACTATCATTTGATGGAACAGATTCTTGACTTTAGATGTTTTTTCCCAGGAGAAATAGGCATAAATATGAAGAATTACTAATGGTAGTGGATTGCTACTTGACACTTAGACTTAGGAGCTAGAGTTTATGTATTTATTTATTTAGTTCGTTAGTTTTTTGTTTTTTTTTTTTTTGGTGGAACAAGGGCTAGAACTCAGGCCCTTGCGCTTGCCAGGCAAGCGCTTATTCTACTGAGCTGTCTCCCTGGTCCCATAGGTGTATGTATGTGTTTATAGAAATGATTTAGGCTATTACAAATAAATAACTTGTGATGCAAATTGAGAACCACAGCTCTTGTGCTCAGGTTGAGATAGGGATTTTTTTTTTTTTTTGGTTCCTGGAATGCCTTCAGGGCACTTTTGGCCAGCGGGAGAGGTGTGAGGTTCGAACTCTAGCAACCTGAGGCTGACAGCTTTGTGGAAGCAGCCACTTAAAGGCCTGAGCTAGGGCCAGGCCCCCTCAGGTTAAGATAAACATTATTCATTTGTATATATACATATCACCATCACAAAACTACATGCAGAGGAAGATTTATACATAGTGTTCGTTTTATTATAAAGTTTAACAGTTTTTGAGCAGCCACATTTAAATGAGATTTTAAATATGAAGTTTTAATTTTTGCATTAAATAAAGTCTAATTATATTTCTCCCCATTTTACCCCTGTAGGCTTGTGACTCCAGAGCAGCCACCAAAGGCCAAGTTCTTGACCTTGGGGTCCAAATTCTGCTATAGTGGCCGCACTCAAGCTCAGACTCGCCAAGCAAGCACCCTCATAGATAGACCAGCACCACATTTCGAGCGCACATCTAGTAAACGAGCTTCCAGGAGCTTAGATGGAGGTGAGCACTGGAATAATTTCAGATTGCATTTGTCTTTTTTTAGTGCAGTGAGTTAAAAATATGTTAATCTAGTTAATTTTTATTTATTTGTTTATTTATTTTGCAGTACTGGGGCTTGAACTCAGAACTCTGTGCTTGCCAGGCAAGTGCTTATTCTACTGAGCTATCTCTCCAGTCCCTTGATCTAGTTAATAAGATCACCAGAAACACTCTAGAGCAGTGATAGCAAAACTGGCATGTGTATTACTTGTTCAAGTCAAAAGATATTCATGTACAAGTTAATTTTTCTAAACTAAGCCCTTGGTACTCAGGTTTAATTACAATATTGTCACTGTTATAAATGAATGGATTTTAGATTGCAGCTTGAGCACTCATCTCTAATGGTTTACCATCACTCCCTTATAAGGGTAACCATTTATTTCTGAGTAAGTAAAAGGTTATTGTAAGCCAAATAATTTTGCAGTATTTTAAAGTTGTCATCTCAACCATACATGGTTCTTTGTATTTAGCGAACACAAGTGTTCTTTGTAAGGCTTTGTGTTCATGAGATTTTATAAGAACATATTGTTACTGATTTGACTTTATTGTGAGGTGTTTTGTATAATTTTTAATCTTGTTAATGATAAAAGTGTAATTTTAAGGGTTTTTAATGTTAACATATGAACTTGATTCAACAGAATATATATATTTCTAGAACCATCAAATTTTGAGTTTTGAAGCCTAATCAGCCATGTATTTGTAGTTTTTTATTGTTGGTGTATCTTTGTGATATGTTCATCTTGGAGAACTGGTATATACACATCACATCTTACTCATTTTTACTTTCTCACCTCACCTCTCTCTTCTGCTTTTCCAGATCCCCTTCCTGTCTCCACAGTCTCCCTTCCATTTCCTACCATCTCTCTTCTATTTTTGCTTTTTATTTATATTTAAGGTTTCTTGTAAGGGCTGGCCAGATAGCTCAGCGGATTAAAGTGCCTGCTTAGGCAGACACAGGGACCAGGGTTCGATTCCCAGCATGCTGTGCCAGCCTTTCCCCTAGGGTGCGCTGAGACAGCAATTGAGACTGGGCCGGGTGGCATGCACCTGTAATCCCAGTGCTGAGGAGCCTGAAAACAGGAGGATCGCTATGAGTCTGGTCTGCGTAGTGAGACTCTGTACTAAATACATTTTAAAAAAATGGTTTCTTTTATAATACAAACTAAGTGATATTTGTTTCTGTGTATGTCTGATTTACTTTACTAGCATTATGCTCTCATTCCATCCATTTTCTTATAAGTTTAGCTTTTTTTTTTTGTATTTTAGGGAAGGGTGTCACTACTAGACAGACTCATAGTGATCTGCCTGTTTACAGCCTCCCAAGAGTTGGGATTAGAGGCGCGTGCCACCACGCCAAGTCTCAATTGCCATCTCAGCACAGCCCAAGGGTGAGGCCAGCATGGCAGGCCTGGCGATCAAACCTCTGGCCCCTGTGCCTGTTTGCATGTGCTTTAATCCTCTGAGCTATTTGGCCAGAGCTACTTGGCCGGCCCTCGTTTAGCTTTCTTTATGGCTAATACTTGTATCTCTGTGTATGTGAAAATTTATGTACTGATGGACACATACACTGCTCCCATAATTCAGTTATTTATGAATTGTGCAATTAATGTGGGAATACATGTTATCACCATAATATGATGTCCTTAGTGCTTTCAGAAGGGTGCCAGAAGAATAACTGAGTGAAATGAAATCTCTGGTTTTAGTTATTTGAGGAATCTCCATGCTGATTTTCATAGTGATTGTAGTAGTTTATCCTCCCATCTACAATGAAAAAGGGTTACTTTTTTCTCACAGCCTCTCCAGCATTTGTTGTATTTTCAGTTCTTGCTGATAGCCATTCTTACTGCAGTTAGGTAGAATTTCAGTGTTGTTTTGACTTGCATTCTCTAATGGCCAAAGATTATGAACATTTTGTCATGTGTTTATTGGCCATTTGGTTTTCTTCTTTAGAAAACTATTCCGTTCAATTGCTCATTTTTTGAATGGATCTTTTATTTTGGATGTCTAAGTTTTTTTAATTCTTTTTTAATTTTTTTTCTTTTTGTTTTTGTATTTAGGACAGGGTCTACAGGGTCTATAGGTTCTCACTCTGTAGATCGAACTCATAGTGATTCTCCAATGTTCAGCCTTTCAAGTGCTGGGGTTACAGGTGCGCACCACCACACCCAGTCTCCCTTGCCGTCTCTGTGCACCTTGCACGCGGGCTGGCTGGGGATCGAACCCCTGCCGCTGTGCTCTGCCTAAGCAGGCACTTTAGTCTGCTGAGCTATCAGGCTGGCCCTGAATTCTTTGTATATTGTAGATGTTGATCTTCTGTCCAAAGTGTGGCTGCAAAAACATTTCCCCCCATTTTGTAGGTTTCTTCACTTTGTCGATTATTTCCTTTGCTTTGCAGTATCCTTTTAAAATTTTTACATAATCCTATTTGTTGATTCTTGGAGCCATTTCTCATGCAGTTGGGGTTCAATTCAGGGTATTTTGCCTATGCACAAACTCCAAGAGTTTTAACTATTTTATATTCCAACAGACTCATCATTTGTGTTTCTATATTTAGGTATTTGATCCATTTTGATTTAATTTGAGCAGGGTGAGAGATTCTGCATGTTGAAAACCAGTTTCTCCACCACTTTGTTAAAGATGAATTTGATGCAAAGGGCCTTTATTAAAGACCCTTTTGTCAGGACACAGAATGTTGAAAGTACATGGTTGTGTCTGCATCCTTAGTTCTAGTCCACTGGTAAGCTTGTCTGCTTTTGTGCCAGGACCAGGTTGTTTTTATTACTGTTCCTTTGCAAAGTCTAGAATGTGCGATGCCTCTGATTTTGCTCCTTTTTTTCAGGATTGCTTTTTGAATTCTGGGTCTCTTGCAGTTTTATATAAATTTAAATGTTTTTTTTTCTAGTTTTGTGAAGATGGCTTATGGTATTTCAGTTGGAATTGCATTAACTCTTCATATCATTTTTGTTAATATGGTCATTTTGATAATATTGGTTCTGCCTATCCAGCAACAGGGATGTCTTCATTCTCTAGTATCCTCTTCAGTGTCTTTTTTCAATATATTATAGTTTTTGTTGTAGAGGTCTTTTTCCTAAATTAATTAATTAGGTTAATTTTTAAGTATTTAATTTTTTAAAGTATTATGAATGGAATTTTTTTTCCTGCTTTTCAGTGGGTTCATTATTGGAATACTCTTCTTGTTCCTGATTTTAGCATGAATTCTTTTAATATTTTTAAGGTCCCATTCCTTTATTTTTTTGTGTATTTTATAGAATTTTATTTCTTAATTTAACTTTTTTACTTTTATTAATATTATACATGTTTGGGGCTGGGGAGATGGCTCAGTGGAATAAGGGCTTCCCTGACAAGTGCAAGGGCCTGAGTTCAATCCCTGGTTCTGCAAAGAAAAAAATTATACGTGTTTGTAGTACATAATGTTTATATTCACTAAGGAATTAGTACATGTACATATATTTCAATTCTCTTTTTTCCCCCCCTTCTCACCACCAGCCTTTTACTTTTCTAGCATCAGATTTATTTATCTTTTAATACTTTATGAAATTAATTATCATGTATACAGATGAAAACTAGACTACTAGGCCAGAGAACATATAAAACATGTAAGACAATTATATTAAGTCAAGGTACACTTTTTTAGTTAGAGACATCATCCATGCTGTATTACAAACTGGTTTTTCTCATTTTTCTTATTATCTTTTATTTCATAATTTATTGTACCTAAATTCATCAACTTAATTTGTTTTATGATTTTTTTTTTTTTTTGGTCTTTTTGAGACTGGGTCTCACTATGCACTTCAGGCTGGCCTTGAGCTCACTTTGTATCCCAGACTGTTCGCAAACTCACAGTGATCCTCCTGCCTCAGTCTCCCAAGTGTTGGGATTCCATGCTTTTTCTGATTCTGGACAAGATAGCTGTGTTTGTATTTGTGTAAGATGACTGTGGTCGTATTTGTCACTAAATGTAGAATTTGCAAACCAAAGCAAAATTTTGTCAAACGCTTCTGTTTGTGAACCAGGTTGTTTGCAAACAAAAGTGTTCATGAACTGAGTGAGGTAACATTGTATTAAGTTTTTCATGTAAGTGAAACCATGCAGTATTTAAGCTTGAGTGAGTTATTTCATTTAACATTATAATCTCAAGATACATTTTCCTGCAAGTGGTCCAAGTTTATCCTTTATGATAGATTAGTGGTCCATTGTAGGTAAATAGTACATTTTCTTCTGTTGCTGATTCATTTAACTGTTGATGGGCATATAGGCCTATATCCCAAGATTTAGCTGTTATGAATCGTGTGCTTATAAGCATGGATATGCATCAATCATTGTGGTGTGATGTCTTTAACACATTTGGGAAGGTATCTAGAAAGGGAATATCTTAGCCAAAGGGAATTTCTAGTTTCAGTTTTTTGAGGACTCTCCATACTGATTTCTGTAGTGACTGTATGAGTTAACAGTTCTGCCAACAGTGAAGGCAAGGGTTCAGTTTCCCCTATAACTTCACTAGCATTTGTTATTGGTTGATCTCTTGATGGTAGCCATTCTTTCTGGGGTGAGATGAAATTTCAGTGTTGTTTTAATTTGCATTTCTCAAATGGCCAACAATGTTGAACTTTTAAAAATGTGTTTGCTATTTGTATTTCTTCATCTGAAAATCAGTCATTCATTTCTGATGCTCATTTTTAAACTGGCCCTTTAAATTTGGGCGTTCTCATTTTTAAAAATTCCTTATATATTATAGATATGATTTAAGAAGTAGAGGGGCCTGGGAGATGGCTCAGTGGAATAAGCACTTCCCTGGCAAGCATAAGGGCCTGAGTTCAATCCCCGGTTTCACCAAAAAAAAAAAAAAAAAAGGAAGTAGATTTTTTCCCCCCATTCTGTAGATTGTTTCTTTACACTGTGAGCAGTTTTCTTGATTATGTAGAAGCTTTTTAGTTTGATGTGATACAGACCAATTGATTTAATTTTTTCTTAAATAAGATGATGTTGGCAGTAGGTTTGTCATCTGTATCTTTCATGATTTTGCAGGAAGGGCCTTCCACACATATCTGTAATTTTATACAGACTAACATGGAAATAAAATAATGTTGCTTTTCTTCATATGTCTGTCTTGTACTATATTGATTGAGAATTAATAGTAAATTCCCTGTAAACAAAATAGGTTGCATTTCCTTTAAAATGCTTTATGAAGGCCTCAGATTTCTCTGTGCTCATACATTATAATCACCAGCTGATTTGGGAGTTAGAAACAGATTCTTTGTACTTTTTGTTAAAGGGTAATGCCTTACCGTGGCCTCCACAGGGTTAGTAGAAAGTACTGGTCAGTGTGTTTGTTTTGTTTTATTTTTTTTTCATAGAAGAAATAATTTCCCAACATTTTTATTATGTTAGATAGTAATAATGAGTTTGAAATTTTTTATTTTACTGATGTTTTCAACAAATAACATTTTTGACTATTAGTTGATACTTTCAGAAATATGAACTTGTACATTAAATAAGTAAAATAGAGTAGACATATACTAACAGAAATATACTTTCATTAGTAAAGAATGAAAGCCTGTTGGTCTCAATTTACTTTTCACAGGAAGAGATTCAGAAATAGGTGCAGATATGTCCTGGGATTTGTCATTGGGTACTGTGGTATATATTTTGTAAATCTGGATTCTAGAGAATGTCCCATATGATTTTATGAGCCCACTTAAAAAAATATGCAAGGGCACCCAGATTGCCTCCAGTGAATGCGCACATTTCGCGACGCAGCAATGTAAATTCAGTGAACTCTTAGTGTGTTACAGCTTACCAACAGCTGAGCACTCTTCCAGGGAAGTCCCAGGAATGTGCCGACCCGTGTAAATGCTTCTCAGGCCTTGCCACAGAGAGTTTATACAGTGTCAAGCAGATGAGTGCATCACTGTTTTCTAATGCCCTGAGAGAGATCAGTGTTCTTTAGTAGAGCACTGTTTTCAGCCTTTGTTTTACGATGAGGCTCTATAACTCTTACACTGCAAGTTTTAGAGTTGAAGAACAGCAATAAAACAGTACACTTTCTTTGAGGTATATAAACCATGTGTGGGGAAGCCCACCATCTTGCTTGGGTAGTTACTGTAGAGGGTGGCTTGTAGGACTTTGTATCAGAAAACAATGATTTTTACAAGGAACAGCAAGAAGCATGGCACAGTGATCCATTATTTCTCTCTTTGTGCTTTGGACACTGTAATTCATCAGATGGGCAAGTCATCAAAAGGATCATTGTGTTACTGTGAAAAATAGGAGGCTACTCATGCCAGTATATGACCAGACAGTCAGTGATCACTTTGGCCCTTATGTTCTTCTGCCTCCCACCCTCAGAGCAGAGCTGGTACTTAATTTGGTATTGAGCTTTATTTCTCTATTGTTCCTTTTTGTGGTACCAGGGATTGAGCTTGGGACCTTGCACTTGCGAGGCAGGCGCTTATACCAAAAGCTATCTCCTGGGCCCCTCTCCATTGTTTTTCTTTTTCTTTTCTTTTCTTTCTTTCTTTTTTTTTGGCGGAACCGGGGATTGAACTCAGATCCTTGCGTTTGCCAGTCAAGCGCTTATCCTACTGAGCCATCTCCCCGGGCCCTTCCATTGTTCTTTTGTCAACATACCCATTTTCTTATTGTAGATAACTGCCTTTTTGTTTACTTTTTAAACTTAGTCTAGAATGATTATATAAATAATCCTCACTTTACAGTTTGAAAAATTAAATCCTCTAGTGATGATGGGGCAAGTACAAATCAATTTGACTTTTAAAGACCACATATTAAAATAAAAATCTGTCTAGTATATAAGTTATTTGTAAACTCTGAGACTCCTGAGATTAGAAAATTGCACCTAAAAGGAGACAAATCAGTCATTTAAGAGAATAGCCAAGGTGCTTTTGGTGGTAAGGAAGGCAGCAGCGTTTCTGAAAGGGAAAAGTATAACACGCAGGGAAACCACTTGGGTGCGGACATCAGGGAATGTACCTGTTTCAGGAAGAACCAGTGCAGGTGAGGCCTGAAGGGCAAGACAGAGGTGGCCGTCAGAGCAGATGGCAAACCCTTCCAGGTGGCAGCAGCAATAGGGTTAAAGGTGAAGCAGCGCTCCATAGATCTGAGAGACAACAAGAAGGTGGCCTGATCAAGACTCTGTGACAGAGAAGTCAGCTGTGGTTGCACCTTGCAGGGCTTTGCAGGTCATTGTGAAGAGTGATTTTTGTTTTCTGTGCTGTAGGAAACCATGGCAGGGTGCATGGTGCAGGCTGTTTTCATGTTAAAAATTCATTTGAGGTAAAAGAACAACTGGACAGGATTGAGACAGTTAGCAGGTCCAGCTCAGGCAGACTCATGGTGGTAATTGTCTATTGGCACCAGGCCTCAGCTCTGTCTCACCTATCAGCTTCTCAGGATTTTTTTTTACAAGAATGTTTAAGAGTTAGGGAAATGCATTGGCTCCAATATAGAAAAAGAAAACTGCAAACATGTTCAAAAGTATGTACAGTCAACATTTTGTTAACTTCATTTTGTATTTTTAGATACTCATTTCTTATTTTGATATGATTACATTCAAAATCATTTGTAAGTTAGATTTTTCTCAAGTTTGCAGTGGATCCTAACTGTAATAGATACTTAGAAGCCCTAACCCTAAGTTAAAGAGTTATGCATAGCTATATAAAGGAAAATTAGAAGAATCTTGTCAGAAGTTTTTAAAAATCTGGAAAATAAGCATATATAAGATATAGGTTTATTTTACTGTTTAATGATAACTGTGAACTTTGAAAAATACAGCTACTTATAGGCTGGGAAAATCTTAAAAGGTGAAGTAGTAGGAGTAGAGGTGGACAGAAGTGACCTCGGACTGGTTACACTGTCTCTGAGGTCCCTAATGTCCCTGCTGGGAGGGAGGGGAGTCCTGGAAGAGGGGCTCCTGGCTTACACAGATAGTGCAAGTGTGTGCATAGCATTTGATGACGAAGGCAGGACTGAGGAAGAAGCAAATTTTGGACAGGCCTGGTGAGGGCTGTGGATTGAGAGGTCTTTTGTGATACACAGATTAAAGTTACTTGGTTCCCTCCAAGTTCAGATGATGTATAGATGACAGCACTTGGCTCCTGCAGCTTGTAGCCCCAGAGCTTTTGTGTTTCTTGGGCTTTGCTCATGGCATGGAGCAGAACAAACCACATGTCAGTGAAGGGACCTCCAGGGGAAGAGCTGTAGCTTTTGTTACCTGCTACCACTTTGTCTAGTTGAGGTTTGAAGTTGTCCTGTGCTGCTCTGCTGCAGGACCAGACCTTCCACACAGTTCATGTTTCTGCCTCTCTGTGGAGAGCTGATGGAGGCACTTGGGAGCCAGGTGTGCTGTGTCTTACTGTAGGACAGGTCGAAATGTGCAGTAGTAATGGAGAAAATGGAAATATTAGACATAAATAAGGAAAATCCTTAAAGTCTGGTCTTGTCTCTCGGTGTTCAAATTAAAAGTACTTTTTTTTTTTTAATTTAATGCAGGGTCTACAGGTCTATAGGGTCTCACTACACAGATCAGATTTGTAGTGATTCTCCTGTTGTCAGCTCCCAAGCACTGGGATTACATGTGTGCACCATCATGCCCAATCTCAGTTGCTGTCTCAGTGCAACCCAGGAGCAGAAACCACACGGCAGGTGGGGGATCGAACCTCTGACCCCTGAGTCTGCCTAAACAGCAAATTAGAAGTTCCTTTGTACATGATTTCTTGCATGTTATTGAAGCAACTCCATTTAATAATTGAATAATTATTTGTTGCAGTAGGTAGGTTCAGAAGTAAAGTCAGGCAAGATCAAAGAGATCCCAGGGGCCTAAGGTGCAGATGAAACTGTAATTTTGACATTTTGCCCTGTTTTATTTAGCTAGTCTTAGAGCTCCTCCTACCGACCAATTCCATAATCACAATATATACTTCAAAAATCTCAGTTGAGACCCTAATAAATGTAGTTCACTAGGTTGAAATTCAGAATACTATTAGAGTTCAGTGAAAGTTTAAAACTGAGTTTGTTTTCTGTGTTGATCTTTTCAGAGTTTAAGCATTGTTCTTGTTCCTGTTATTTTACATGTTACTGTTTATATGTTTGAGAAAAACAGCATGTAAAGCTTTAACCATTTACATGTCCTGAAGTAATTGGAAATTATTCTTCACCAGCTCCAATTGGTGTGGGGGACCAAATTCCTGCAAAGGATTTTCCTGGTGTTGCAGGGGCAGCCTTGGCATATGGCCCAGGTGTTGTGGGTGCTGCCGTGCTGCAGGATGTCCGGAGCCCAGCCAGAGCCCCACATTATCAGCTCTCTGAAGGAAAGGTATGGCAAATCAGTATGACACGATTTTAAAATTGTCCTTAAATGAGAAGCTTGCTGTGGCAGTCTTTTCTTTCAGAAATGAAGTATTTATAATATATCATTATGTAATCTGTGTTGGTGTAATTTCCCGTTTTCAAATATGGTAGACTCTTGAGTTTCTAACCTTCTTTTAGTTGTTATTCAGAGCAAAATAGTTCAACATAAATTACATTACTACAAGTAAGTAATTCATTTTCAGTCTTTATGATTATCAGTTAAATCAACAAATTATAGAAGTATGGTGATTGGGAATTTATGTTTGGTTTGTTACAAGTAAATTTTAAAGCTTATTTAAATTATGTTAAATTGAATTTTTTTACATATACAGAGATGATCTTTAGGAACAATTTTATTTTCCATTAATACCTGTGACTGATAAGAAATTTTAACACAAAGAGTAATTGTTTTGTTAGTGAGAAGTTAATGCATTTTATGACCCTATTTTGTTCATTTCCCCTGGTGAATGGAGAAGTAACTTATATTGTGTTCTCAAATTTGTCACCTATGCTACCTGGAGTAGTAAGGTCTTTGCAGTGCTGATTCGAAGAACCTTTTTGTACCTCGATCTCTTTGCCATATCTGTGCAAAGCAACATTGGAAATAGGTGCAAGCATGTGTGCACGCACACACTAAACGGAACCATGAAATTACCCTGATAATTTTAACTTTGAAAATTTTAAAGGCATGCAAAGTGAATCCATAAAGGACCTGCTAAATAATGTAATGCCAGTGCCTTCAGTACCTTAGCATTCCCTGCAATTAAAGCCATATATACCTATGGTAGAGGTCTCAGGGACCTGTGGGTCCTCTCTTACACCATTGCACAATAACAATTGGCATGAAATCATTTTATTTTCTATTTAACAGTTGTGACTGTCATGTTGAACATTACGTTGCCAGGTATGGTGGAATGTGCCTGTAATCCCAGTACTCTGGGAGGCTAAGGTAGGAGGATTATAAACTTAAGCTGATCTGGGGCAGTTTAGGGACTTGGTGAGAACCAGCCCCACTGCCAGAAGCTTGGCTTAGCACAAAAGGCCCTGGCTTTAGTTTCTAACAATGTACCAGTACTGCAGAACAAACAGAAATTGTGTCCAAGAAAATATTCTTCAACTACTGAAAAATTGTTTATTAAAAATAATTTTCTAAAGAGGTAGCCAGGAGAGTAATTATTTACATTTGAAACAACAGTGTGTTGGAGTAATTCTGTTCCATTTTTCCTATTTGATCTATACAGTTGTGTTTTCAATTTTTTCTCATTTTACTAGAACTAGAAAATGTTCTTGTCTTAGAATCCAAACAGAAATTTTACTTGTCTTTAGGAAAAGACTGGTTATGCTGGGTTTTTGCTTATGCTTTGAATGTTTATCTGCATAAGGCTTTTAGAGTGAATAATGCCAATTGCATTTCCTAGGATTCATGTTGAGCCAGTTTGAAAATGTCAGTTGGTATCTGTAAGTTTTAGGTGATAAAAGTAGCTCCATTTTCCTCTCTAAGGATTATAAGATTCACCTTCTAGCTGCACTGTTAATGTGAAACCTACCTGAAAGAATGGTTTGCACTAATTGCCTGTTTCTTCTTTCCTCCTTTTTTCCTTGCATTCCTTTTTTCTTTGAAACATGTGTGTCGCATAACTCACATTCAACCATGGGTTTGTTCTTGAAAATAGGCTGTTTGCACGTGCTCACCATCCCCTCTCCTCTACTGTACTTCACCATTTTCTCCACACCTCCTGCCAGTCCCTGAAGTGGACTTGCTTTCAGACATTTCAGAGGAAGATCCTTTTGGGGAGGCTGAGCAGCTCACCCTAGACAGCTTAGAGCACCTTTCTGCAGGTGAAACTTCAGAGCAGAGGGACCTGGAGAGGGCCATGCTGGATTTTGTCTCCGGTCCTGTCATAGTCCCTGCTCAGCCTGACTGTCCTTCCCCTATTCATGAGCAGACTCTTAGTGCAGCTGACCAGGAGGCCTCGGAGTTTACTTACTTTTCTTTTGGCTTCCACAAATGTTTCCCATCTGGCTTCCGCTGTCTTCTGGATGAAGATGGGTATCTTGTTTTCCCCAGCCTCCCCAAGCTCTGGGTCTCCTTCCTTCCACCTGACATTCAGCACTATGTCCCTATCACCTCCCGGTCATTCCTTCCTTCCCTCATCCTCATCTTTGGCCTACTTCTCTCTGCTTCTCAGTCCGTTCCTTTTTCTCTCACCTTTTCACTTCCTCTGGCTCTAGCCCTCTGTTATCTGGAAGCTAAAGCCACCTCCTTTACTATTCCTTATGACTGTGACTTGAATGACAAAACAGAGGAAGAGGAAGCAGTTGTTGCGATTCCTCCATAAGCTCATTTTTTGTGAAGTCAACCAGACTACACTTTATCTTGTACCCTTTCTAATATAGAGTGTAAACATGTGCATAAACTTCACTGATTCCCTCAAAATAGTAGCGTCTGTACATTTTTATGCACAGTGTGCTAGTGCATGACAGATAAAGGTAGCATTCCTGCATTGATGTCTTTGACCAGATCCATTCATTCTAAATGCAGAGCAAAATGGTAAGGTTCTTTTAAAAATACCTGGATCATGTTAGATTTTTAACAGAAGGAGTGGGAGAGAGGAAACCTGTGTTTTCCTTAAATCTGTGTTGACTATTTTTAGACATATGTTAATGCAGTTCCTATAGGATGCGAACTTTTATGTTTGAAGCAGAACTTAGAGTGCAGTGCACATAGTGGTGATAGATGTACTTTAGAACTTCTTAGTGTTATTTCTGCTGGTCACAGTACACATTCAGTCTTGCATTTGTGAGGTTGTATCTATGTGAGTCTTTGTAAATCTAATCTCAGAAACTCCTTGCTTCCTATCACTGTAGGATTTGAGGACCAGATAGATAAATTTTAGCTAGTGCTCCTCCTAATCCTAAATCATGCAATTATATAAAAGAATCACAGTCAGGTATTTTATACGGAAGATGCTATCCTGTTATCTTTAACAAATGTGTGGGAACAATGAAACAAGACTTTCTGAAGGCTTAGAAGTACTTTCACATTGAGCCTTATTTTTATTGAAAATTGGGTGTCTGGTGTAAGGGCTTTTTATCGCTGCATAAGCAACTTTTTAAAGAAGTATATCACTTTTGCACAGCTAAGTCAGTGTAAACATGTGAAATGTGTTTTTAAATTATTTTGCTAAGTGTGGTCTGGTGACTTCAGTGTACCATAGCTTATGGTTACTGTCAGTGCATAAATAAATCACAAAATTCAGAGTAAACCTAAAACTAATGTAAAGAAATGCAGTGAGTATACATTGTAGGAAAAACCACAGTTCAACATTTTAGAGAATTAAGTGTTGACCTAATTATTGAAAGATGATTCTTAAAAGATTAATGTCTTACTTCTTTCCACTTGTGATAAACTTTTTGAGCTTCCTGCTTATCTCTCAAAACTGCTTTGATTACCAGAAATGAAGGTAAGCATTTTGAAACTGTCAGGTCTGACCCTAGCAAAGAAAGAAAAGAATATATGATATCAATTAGCCTGTAATGGCTGGTTTTCTTTGTTATCAGAATCAATATTTTTCTTTTCCCAGTGTCAAAATTCACTTAATATTTACCCTTTAGATTGATGTTTCTGGGCCATTAGATATAGAGAAAAGTCCAATTGTGAAAAACTATTCATGTTTAAAAATTACATGAAGGAATAGGAATGTATTTCAAATATAATTTTAATATGAAAGTAACCAATTTTTCTCCCAAGAAATCCATATTTAAAAATTAATGATGGAGTAAGGTACGATGATGTAAAATCTATAACCAACACAAAGCTAAAGAAAAATTTTAAATCAGTATACACTGCCCTATCACTAGTTGGTTTATATATTTTAAAATAGAACAGATTAAGTATGCCATATTTGCACTCTCATATTTTCATTCTTGGATCAAAAAAAATCAAAGCAAAGCACAGTCTAGGGACTGAGAAAGAGTGAAGGTTCCATTCTCCATTCCACCTTGCAAGGATCATTTCCATCACGTGTACAGCACTGTAGGTGAAGAAAGACCAAAGTGGCTTAATAATCTGCATCTTCTGAGGGCCAGACGACAAAGGTTGGTAATGCTGTGACATCATTTGAGTTCAGAAACAGCTTCTCTCCTGAGGGTAGGGTTGAAGTTAATGCAGCCCTTCCTTCTGGCAAATGCTATGTTACTTTTCAAATGAAGACGGAAGAGGAACCATGGTTGGAAGAAGGGGCTGTTTTCCCCTTAAAATTAAATATCTGGTGGCTGCTGCCTGCCATTATTGTTGAGGGGTGGTAGTGGAATGTACTTCAGGGTTTATTTGTGAGATTTATTTGTTGTTCCTTTAAATTCTTAAGATTTTTATCCTCTTTTATTTTAAAGTCTTAAGACTGTCAACTCTGGATCATCCTTGGTGCTTGCTGATTGATACACTTACGTTTGTTTGCCTTTTTCTCTCTCTGTGTGATTTAATTTCACAGAAAAATTCCTTGAGAGTAGAAGGGGATAATATTTATGTCAGACATAGCAATTTAATGTTGGAGGTTTGTATAATCTAAGAAAACCACTCTGTCCTAATGGCTGCCAGGCTGCTGTGGATGGGAGGTCACGCACAGGCTCGCTGGCAGCTTTCCAGGCACAGTGCATGAAATGCATGGGGAGATGGAACTGGGCATGCACGTTACCAGGCCTGCTTGGCTCATGTCAAGGGGCGTAGCTAGGAGTGGAGCCACTGTGTTCTCAGTGACAACTGGAAAAGGCTTTCTGTATTCAAGCGAATGAAGCTTATCCTTTAGTCCTAAAGTTGTTCTATGAGTAAAACCTATTTTCCTAATGAGGCATTTCAAAGACATAGAATCTGAAGTAGCACAATCCCACCTTTGATTTGTAGGAAGTACAACAGATTTTGTTTATATGATATTTGTTTCTTGATCTATGCCCATTTACTCCATCCCTAAATTCTGTGTAACTAGGAGTGTGGTCCACTTAAAATACTGTTTGTGCATACGTATGTTAATTAATGGAATTATTTTGATTAGAAAGAGAACGAGAGAGATGGGAGGGGACAGGGAGAGAGAGAGGAGAGAGAGAAGAGAGAAAGCAATAGAATACCTAGTCAGCCGTGTCACATGGGAACAATTTTTCCTTCCCCTCTAGGATAGGTAGTATGTGGCAGTGTGTTTACTGGAGAACTGCAGCTCTCAATAACCTCACTAATCTGGTTGCTTTTGGCAGCTTTGATAACTGTTGAAAATGTATTTGCTTAACTTACTAAAATGCTGTATGGTGTAATGAGTAACATTGCTTTGAATAAATGCAAGAAATGTGCCTGATCTCAAGCCACAGTCATTTTCCCATGCCATGCAAAGAGTAATAGATTTTTATGAGTTTTTGCAAATGGCTATAGAAGCTCACAAATGAGCTACTATGCTTGTGCATGAATATGAGTTATCTAATTTTATCAAATGCATGACCTGTTCCTTTGGGAGTGGGACAAAAGCTGTAATATACAGGTGCCCTTTGATTTTTGAAACATTAGAAACATTTAAAATTCATCTGAAACACTTTCCCAATCATTAATTACCGCATAAATGACATTTATCAGAGCCAGGCTGAAAAAAATCTTAATACCATTAGTCAGGTTGTACTTCAAGGAAAACTGTCCTGGTAGTGTAGTTTCCTCACATCTTTGTTTAAGGAGTATTTTATGTGTGCAGTAGCGGAGCCCCATTTTGGTGCTTGGTGCTACATGAAACCAGTATGTTACTCATTTTATAGTTAGACCAAGGAGAAGCAGCCTCAGGAAGCAGTTATTATTATTATTATTATTATTATTATTATTTTTATTTTAAGGATTAAAAAGCTACAACTAAAATTTCCTGACAAAAGTTAGTCTTTGAATTTTCGTTTTGTAGGGGTAGTCCTGGACTGGCTTCTCCTAGGCCAGTGTGCTTCCACGTTTGTGTCTGTTTCTGATTTACTGTGTTCATCGAATACAGTTTTAGTAGTAGCCTAAGGAGAAAGTCAACATTGTAGGAGCAAAATCAGGCTGCAATTCATCTTTAAGAGGATTAGTAGCTATTTTTTGACAGTGTGTTTCATGGCTTCCTTTTAATAATGTAAATTATTATTCTTTTGATAAGTCTATGCAGACATTAAAACCCTTTAAAATACAAATTATAAAAAATACACATTGACTTTATTTTCAGTAAAGGCAAAAATATGGCTTTTGAGACTTGGCATTTTTCTTGCTTTAGTATGTTTTTTTAATCACAAGTTTGCTTTGTGTTATTTTTATTTTTATTTTTTGTCCTACTGGGTTTTTTCCTTTTGGATTTTTTTCCTCTTACATTACATATTGCTAGGACCTGGATAAAGCCCAGGAGGACATACTGAAACATCAGGCTAGCATTAGTGAACTCAAGCGCAATTTTATGGAATCCACACCTGAGCCGCGCCCTAACGAATGGGAAAAACGACGTATCACACCTCTGTCCCTACAGACTCAAGGGGTATGTCACTAGCTATTTGTTGGTCATGTGTCTCACTCCATTTGTTCAGTAAAACTCAGGTTGTTAATCTTATATGTTGATGCTCAGAAGTTGGAAAGTATTCCCATTTCTTTTTGTAATTGCTAACAACTTTTAAAATACTAAATATTAACAGTGTAATATTTACTGACCTAGTTCTTAGGTAAATTGTATGAGTTTCAACATATTTTTGAAATATTTTTAGAATAATTTCACTATTTTGCTTTGGTCATTTATGAATTAATGAATTTACTCATAAGACAGAAATTTATGTAATTTATTTAATAAACTTCTTAGTGACTGCTAAAATACTGTAAGGACATTTATTTAGTAAATAAAATGTAATTAGAGGGATGTACATCATATGTTAGAATGATTCAAGGTCATTATTCTGAGATTAGTGAGTTAAAACTTTACATGTAGAGGCTGTGAAACCCTATTGCATACTTATACAATGTTGTATATAATGAAACTTAATAATCAAAATTTCTAGTAATGGTATAGAGAATGTTTTTAAAATGTTTTCAACTACAATGTCTCTCCTAAATCTTTTTTCTTTCCATAGTTTATCTCTTCCCACTGTAATATATAAGTATTGTCTTCAGGATGTATTCTCAAAATATTTCTCTGTCCATTTCCATCTGTGTCTGCTGTTCTCTGCCATTCCCACCTCTCTCCCATGACTGACCAAGAATCGCTGAGGGGTCACCCTTCTTCAGGGACAGTGATCGTACTGTGTGTAGCCTGCAGTGTAAACAATCAAAAAATGTCACACTACCACTTGATCTTTCTCTTGGGCAATGTCCAGTGTGGCTTGGATATTGCCAGATTGAATGCTTTTAACCTAGATGTTCTCAAGCTGTTTTTATTTCACCTTTTAAAAAAGCAAAGCTGTTACTTGCTGTGGGTTTCTTTTGTGACACTGAAAGGAAAATAGTGCTTTAAGAACAGATGAGCAAAAATAATTGCCAAACTGAAAAACAAAACTTCTGAAAATATTGAGACTTTAACCACCATGGGTATTGGGATCTTGTGAAGTTGGATACCATTTAAATTCTTATTCTCAGAGTTTCTGAAGATGACATTAATGTCAGCAATCTACTCTAAAGTGTTTCTGGGGATATTGATGATATGTAAGATTTTGGCCATCATGTGCCTCTTCATCTGGTTGGTGCTCCAGTTGTTTTATGTGTGTGTTGCTGTAGGTGTAATGTATGTGTCTTGTTTGTTGATTGTGTCTATTGTTTGAAATAATAGAGAAAAGGAGACCATCTTTTCAAGGATATTTTATCCATGAAGGAGAAGTACCTGGTGACAACCACACAGACAGTTGAAGAAAAAGCCCAGGAGGCAGACAAGGTGTTCACCTTGCATCCTTGGATCTACTCTTGCTCTTTCTCTTTTCCATTTATTTCTGTCCAAAACCATTTATATTCATTTTTTCTTATCTGTCAATGTGAATTTTTTGGAAATAATTTTTTGAGTGTTTGAAAAGTCAAGTCCCCATGTATAGAAGCATAGAATTATTGGGTAGAAACACCATACAGCACAAAAATGCTGCCTGAAAATTTACATTTTGAAATGTATGAAGCAGCTTAGAAATAAATGGTCCTCATTTGATGTGTGTGGCTAACAGCTGGGAAACAATAATTTCATGTGAAAATGCACCCTGCAACACTTATACACACTGCAGTACTAAAGTAATAAATTACACATGAGGGGTTACTAGCTTAATCACATGGAAACATTTTTGAATTTGCAATTTTAAGATTCCTAGTAGAAAAAAAAAGAATTTTTATGCACCATAATAGCTTCTCATATCTATCTGTACTCCTGTATATATGAAATGCTAGCATTAGTGAGAGTTAGCTTTCTTTTGCTTTTACATTCTCATACTTTTGCTTTTACTGATTTTGTTGAGGCAGCTGATCAGGCTGGAAGCTTAGAGTTTGGTGGAGGAGATAGTAGCAATTAGTAATAAGAAAAATTTAGGTATTGAGACGTAAATGCTCAGAAAGTGATGTAGACTGTTATGTTAGAAGGCTGCCTTACCATTATGATCAGGAGGAGATGGCCTTTGAGATGATACTTTCATGATGACAAGGAGTGTATTTCTCAGCTTTCGTATTGCTAGATACCTAACAGTTGCACTGTAAAGGAATATATGTTTGTTTAATTCATGGTTTCACAGGGCTTATTGATTTCATAAAGCCTAAGCCGATGGTAGACTTATATGCATTAAAGGTTAGTTTGAAATCCATAGCCAATAAGACTGAGTGTAGTGAGGATTTTAATATCCCATGTTTAGAAATATTATTTTTATAAATTTGTCTTCCAGAAACTAATTAAGTGACATAAGTAAATTTAAAGTGATGTCCTTTGGACTCTTTGCAGTTAGAAACTAGATTTTCAGTGAAGGTGTTCAAAATTATAATTTTTTATGAATCTCATGTTTTAGGATTGTGCAGTATAAAATGTCTTATAGAAGTTATAATAGAGTAACTTCATTAGTCAACTTTTTATTGCTTTGACTAATATTTAAATGAGGAAAGATTTCTTTGGGTTCACTGTTCCAGAGATCTCAGTCCATAGTCAGCTGGTTCCCTTGCAGCGATGGTAAGGCAAGGTGGAACATCATGACAGAGGGTGTGGCACCAGGAAGTGCAGAGGGCAAGGAAGGAGGAGAGGAGGAAGGGACTGGGGTGTAGGGGCCAGGTACATCCCAGATCCATAGCCTTTAACTAAGCCTACCTCCTAAGTTTCCAGGTCCTCCTAGGAGTGCTGGCAAGTTATGATCTCATCGGTAAATCAGGCTTCTGATGAAGTTGAAGCCCTTGTGATCCAGTCATCTGTGGAGAGTCCCCCACCCCCAACCCATGAAACTGTGAGGGGGAAGTTTAGATCTGAATACATAATGGTGATATTTACCTGATACTTAAGTTAGAAAAACGTTCCTGGATAGCTTTTCTGCGCTTGAAGTTACTGCTTTTTTTTTTTTTTTTCCTGTTCTTTTACTCTTTAACACATGTAGAAAAATACATACAAACTTGACATATATATGGATTGGTCTCTAACTAGAGTCATCCATTTAACCAAGAAACATTTATTGACCACCTGTAATATAATTAAGTATGTATATTACATTATTATGTTTGCTTCACATAACATGCCACTACTATTAATTGGAAGACTTGAACATTTGAGGCTGCTGGGGTTGACTTGAACAGAATATCTTTTAGTTTCTCTTTGTATCTTTGCAAAATTTTTGCATCTTCCTTTGCTAATAGTTTTGTAGGATTTCTTTTTTATCCTTGAATTATAATCCTTATTGAAGTACACAATTTAAAATTATGTGAATATATAATTTGACCAAAAGTTTCAAATTCCCATCATAATTTATAGAAAGCACCTACTTAGAACAAGCTTAGCAAAGCATAGGGACCGCGGTTCAATCCCCCAGCACCACATGCCAGCCAGCCCCACCCCCTGGTGGGCTGAGCTGGCCACACACACAAATAAATAAATTAAATAAATAAAAATTAAAAAAAATAAAATAAAAAGCAGTAACTTTTTTGTTAAAACAATAAATATATTGAATTTATTTGTCTTTGAAAGAGTCGCATTGTGTAGTTCAGATTGGCCTTGAACTCACTGTATAACCCAGGCTGGCTTCTCAGCCTCCCAAGTGCTGGGATCATAGGTGTGTGCCACCATACCTGGCCAGATACTTTGAATCAGTTAAAGATGATTTTGAAAATAGGACAGAAAGTGGGATACCAAGTCTTTAGTATTTTAGTAATTAAATGCACCTTTTGTGTCCTTTAATGTATTGTGAATATCCTGAGAGCCTTAAGTTTATGTTTTCTGTCATGAATCTAATAGAGGTTACCTAGGCTATAATTTAAAGATGCTGTCGATGCTGTTTTTGAATAAGTAAATGCATGGCACTTAACTCAGCAGTGATCACTTTCTGAGAAAGCTTCCTTTCCACCCCACTCCTTGGCATGGTGTAATAATGGAGATTGTAACTGAGCTCAGTCCAGAATATTCTTTCCAGAATATTGATAATGCTTACCTACTTTTCTCACTCTGCTTAGCTCACTGTCTGGAAGGGCATCTTGTAGAAGTCATGCATCTTTTCTTCTAAAATTGCTGGAGTGAGTTTTATTAAGAATTATTTTTGCATTTTTCCAATGTGAGGGAGAACATCCTAGTCGTTAGTGGTATTCCAAGTTCTTGAGGACAGTCTCCTGCTTTTCTTTTGTCCCATCAGTCAAGTGAACAACCATTGTTTGAGGGCTAGAAATATGAAAGTCTGAGTCCAGAGACAGATGTCTCTTCAGAAATAAGTAATTCAAGTGTAGAAGACACTTGAAAGGCCATTGTGTATAGGAAGTGGCCAAGGAGCTGTAAGAATATGTGCACTTGGGTTTAATGGGCAGGTAGGTTGTGCTTAATTTGTGATTAAAATATCAGGAATAAACCAAGACGTTTAGCTGGTTTCTGGAGGTTACAGTTATCAGATTTTCAGGCAGGGTGGAAATGTTGACATTGAGGCAAGAGTCCACATAAGCCAGCTGCAAAATCTTCAAAATTCTTTTCTTTTCATTTTATGTTGCTCTGTTATCTTTCTTGTGTAACCTTTCCTTTCTTTAAATAGGTAACTGGTGTCTTTCTGATGTATTAACTCTTTGCTCTTCCTTTTCTGACCTTTCTAGAGCCTAGAAGAGGAGATAACATCAATTTTGTTTAGTGGAAAGGGGTTTTCTGATAGCATGAAGGCCACCTTCCCTTCAGTCGCCACTTGGACAGCAGAGGGCGCAGTTGTGAACTCTAATGCACCTTCTAGAGAAAAGCTTTCCTCCTCCTGGCTCTTCTCACATTTGCCTGAGGTGCATTTTACTTTGTTTCCGCTGTTACTGAAAGCCACACATGAGAGTGATTTTCACTTTTTGAATATTCAGACACCCTTCCTCTAGTGCTTCCATTGGTGAAATTAACTCTTTCTGGGAGAAACATTCAAGGAACAATGACTAAATTTGGACAAGAGGAAAAGAAATAGATTGGATGTTTCTCCTTGCTTTTTTTAGTAAACAAACTAACCTGCTCCGATTCAGAGAATCATTGAAACCATTACAGCACAAAGCCCAAGTTGTTGAGCAGAGAGAAGCCTCAATGCTTTGCACAGTTCAGGGTTTAAAAGCCCAAATTTTAGGCTGTTTCTGATTTATTTTATTTTTTATTTACTTATTTTTGTAGTACCAGGGATTGAACTCAGAACCTTGCACTTGCCAGGCACTGAGCTATCTCCCTGGCCCTTTACTACTTACTTTCTTTTTTCTGATTTATTTTTAAAAATTGCTTGTGTAGAAAAATTGAAATGCCCACCATACTGATGAAACAAATGTTTTTGAATGACAAGTGATTCCCTGAACTTGGGCAGAACCTATTAAGTCATTCGAGGTGGGTAATAATAGTAATGATAACTCACTGACCTTTAATAATCATGAAATGTGTGTTTTAGAAAAATTCTGATGACTGGATATCTTCATTTATAAAGTATTGACCTGCTTACCAAAATAGATTGTGTTTTTCAGTTAATGTCTGCAACCTCCGGGTTATGCATGGAGCGGGAAGTGATTCTCCTGTTCTGTTGGTCGCAGGGTTTACAGAGTAGGAATTGTGAGCAGCTCACATGTGCTCTCAGTGTGCATTTCAGAATAGCTCAGCATGTCACCGAGGGAAGGAGTGTGAGTGTGTGTTGATAGGTGCTGCCCAGGAGTGTGCACGGTGAGCACTGTGAGCCTTGCATGGCCCTGCTGCTGTAAGACAGTGCAGCACAGTTCGGGTGCCGGTGGTGTCAGCATGGATAGCACCTAGAGGGGCGGAGACACAGTATCGAGTGAGCGCTGTAGACCAATTGTCTCTCGCTGACTTATTTCTAATTAGGTTACTGGTCATCGTGCCACCTGAATGTCAGTCACTGTACTTAGTTGTGGCAGTGTAAAATAACCTTTTTTATGAGTGACAGAAAATTTCAAGCTTTAAAAACAAATGTCCAAAAAAGCATTTCTACTCTAGTTAATAATACCATAGCAAAGTAGTTTATGTAGCTGAAATACTCAGTGAACAGATACTTCTTATTTACTTACTGTGTTTCTCAAATAGAACACATTAATTTACTATTAAGAAATTGTTACTTCAGGAGATAAAAATGAGCATCTCCAATAATTTGCTCCATTTGAGATTTTTAAAGTACTTGGGAAACAGCTAGAGTTTCAAGAGGAAATACTGGGGTACCCTTTACCATAGTGTATAATGTCCCTTCTGCTGATTATAGTACAGATTGCAATGTTAAAAATATCTCTGAAATGAACTTTTTTGTGTTGATAACTGTCAGACACCAACTGTAAGTTTGCCAATCAAAGCTCCTTTTAAATTTTTATTTATTTATTTATTTTTTTTTTGGTAGCAATAGGGTCTCTTTATGTTGCTCAGCCTGGCCTTGAGTGCCCAGTTTTTCCTCCTCAGTCTCTGAAGCAGCTGGGATTACGGGCATGTGCCACTGTACCCAGCTCAAAGCTTTTCTTTTAAAACAGAAGAAAAACAGATGTCATTTCCTTGTTATATTTATTTAGAAACCAGGGCTCCAGGTTAAGCTCTAGAGTCTGACTAAAGCTAAAATTGTTCGTTGAATAAATTTTAAAAGTTTTCCAACTTATCTTTTAAGATAATCAGTAAACTTTGATCTACATATTTTTATAAAAATTTCTACTACATAAGTGGAGCTACAGCTATAACTCCATAGTTACTCCTTGTAACTCCATAAAAGCATTTTATTTCTTTGTAAGCATGCTGGGTGTTTTTCTTTTTGTTAGCTTTTTGGCATTTGTCTCCATTGTCCTCTGTGTGATCTTAGTACAGAGGTTTTTGTAGCTGTTGATTCTTGCTGTTCTGTCTTTGCACTGTCGGATGTCTGTCTGGTGGTGTTGAGGTAAAACTGTATTGATTTTGTGTCCTCGGTTGCTTTTTGTTCCGCAGACACGTGCTCCCGCGTCAGAAGGGCCTTGCACTGGAGCCAGGGATGCTGTTAAGGTCTCCCTTTTCTGTGTTCACACCATTGCCCACCGCCTTCCATCCCCTTCACGCTTGCCTGCTTCCCTTCCAGTCAGCCTTCATAATCATCCTTGTTTTCTCCATGACATGAACCTGCCATCCGTTGATTTGGGTTTTCATTGTTTTTATTTATTCATGTATTTTTGTTTTCCCTCCTCCATCTTTTTTTCGTACAGAGTTCACATGAGACTCTGAATATAGTGGAGGAGAAGAAGCGGGCAGAGGTTGGGAAAGATGAAAGAGTAATCACAGAAGAAGTGAATGGTAAAGAGCTAACACCTGGGAGTGGTCCTGGGGAGATGCGTAAGGTGGAGCCTGTGGCACCCAAAGACTCCACCTCCCTGTCTTCTGAGAGCAGCAGCAGCAGCAGTGAGAGTGGGGAGGAAGATGTGGGCGAGTACCAGCCCCAGCAGCAGCATGTGACCGAGGGCATCATCAGGGAGGAGGAGGAGGAGGAGGAGGAGGAGTGTGACGAGCAGGCGGAGGAAGCGCCCAGCAAAGCTGCCCAGATAGTGGAGAGGGAGGAGGCAGTACCCGAAGCCAGCCTGGACAGATGCACAGGGGCCGGTGTAGGCGCAGCAGACACAGAGGCCCAGGACCATGTAGTTGGCCCCAAGGGATCTTGGGAGAAGAGTGTGAACGAAAGCACTGTTCAGCAAGATGGGAGAGAAGAAACCGAGGAAGAGCGACAGAAAGTTAACGGAGAGGTGTCTCATGTTGACATTGATGTTTTGCCACAAATTATTTGTTGTTCAGAGGTAAATGGGAGTCCGGAGCGGGAGCTAAACTGTTGAGTCTCTTCTCAGGTGGGGACACCTGCCTTTCTCCTCCACCTGTCCTCCCGATACTCCTGCAGCTTTTTCAGCAAGAATCTGGTTTTTCTCTTTCCTTGGAAGAAGGGGGAAAGCACTGCTTTGTAGATTTTCTGCCAGCTCAGTTCATGGTTTCTGGCTTCTTTACTGCAACTGGATCACCTGTAGGGTAAACTTTCCTACAACCAGCACATCATTTTTTCCTTCCCGCTTCCCATTTCAATTTTTCCGTGCATGTTTTGGGTGCTTACAGTTGCTTTGTCTTTAGTTTCACTGCTTCCTCACACTGACGCCTTTTTTCATTGGTTTCATAGAAAAATGTATCTGTAGGGTCAAACAGTGGGTGCTGCAGATGTGCACGCTCCTGTCGTCATGCTTGGATTTGGCCTTTCTGGCTTGTTCTCTCACTCCTCTACCCAGGGTTCTCGGAGCGGGCCGTAGGCTGTGAGTGCATGAGGCTGTGGGAGTGGCACCTGGCAGTGACCAGGGTTGGGCTGGCATCATTAGGAGCCTTTTGCTTCCTTCTGGGTATAGCCATAGGCTCAGTCACTTCCTTCTCATTCTGTCTTTACATCAGTTCTGGTTGTTTTTTTTTTTTTTTTTTTCATCACTTCTGGATTTGATTTGTTTTGTGGATTATCAACACTGGATATAAGTCTTTTCCTTTTTAAGAAGTAGAACTTCCCGGAGTCACCTCAGATGAAGTCTTGGTAATTAGGTACATTGTCCCTCATTTAGGAGTGAGTTAGGGTTGGTGAGTGTTTCTTAACTCAGAAATGCCTGCAGTGCAGGGATGTGTCCATACTTGCTCTCTCTGAGGGGGTAGACAAATCTCAGAGTGACCTTGACTGGAAGTAGTGAATTATCACCATATTGCCTTTCAACGTTTTACTTCAGAGAACACATTTCAAGAGTCTTTGAACTTGGATATTATTTTCTGCATTTAATGTAAAGTTGTTCCTCTTTGAAATATATCTGTTGGGAATTTTCTACAGAAAGTGCTGTAGAGTTTTTGTAATTGTATTGTACATGTGCACAGAATACAATGTTAACTGACCATTGAACCTCTCTATCCTTGCTTTAAATCATTTAAAGCATTCATGCAACACCTATGAGTAATTGTAGATGAAATATTGTAATGTAATACAGAAGAAAGACTGCAGGTTTTAGACAACTATAATTAAAAACAGCCATGCTTGAAGGTATCCTTTCTGAAAATGACATCTTCTGAGGCAGAAGAGCAAATCTTGGCCATCTAGCTTGCATGCCAATTAAAAACAATGAGCTTCACACAAACCATGTGGTCCTTTAAGCTGTAGTGAAATTAGAGATAGGTCACTTAGCATAGTTCATTCTCCTTCCTCTTTAGTTTTGTGCACACACTACTCTGGAAAGTAATTAACGTCAGTGCAGTAGATTTGCCATGATCATTATTTGAAAGGTAGTGTAGTTTAGGGAACCATTGTGTTAGCTTGTGTTTCATATGTATACATATACATGTATATATATATATATATACATACATATACATAAATATATAGAGTACATATACATATATCTGCATGACATTTTAAGGAGATTTTTCTTTTGTATCTTTGTTTTAAATTATTTGCTTTAACCTTATGTGCATGAGTGTGTTTGGATGTTTCTTACAATCATTTTTGAAGGTTCCTTTAGGCACTTCTACTTCATTATCTCTAGAATTTATTTTCCCCTTCCTTTTCTGCTTTAGCCACCAGTGGTAAAAACAGAGATGGTAACAATTTCTGATGCCTCACAGAGAACAGAAATCTCCACCAAGGAAGTCCCCATTGTCCAAACTGAGACCAAAACCATCACATACGAGTCTCCACAGGTACAGAGCACAAGGCTTGCCTACTTGAGTGCATTTTTACTTAGCTTGTCTGTTTCTTTTTCTGTTGTCTTTTCCCCAGTTTTTGTGTTTCTGACTTTTAGGTAGCTTTCCCCATCTCTGTTTTATAACCAGGTACCACCACCAACATAGCTTAATACGCTGCTGTCTTAGATTGAAAGGAGCGATCATATTGGTGACTTCATAATTATATGAGGACCTTATACCTGACTACTTAGGATAAAGGACATAAACTGTGTTTTTATTATAAGGCATTTATGGCTAAATATATCCAAAATACTCACATGCACTTGGGAAAGATTGTTTTGCAAACTGCACCGGGTCTGACATCTTTACGATTAGTGGTATATAGCCTCCCCCTGCTCTAGCGCAATTAAAAGAGACCAAATCAACTGTTGCTTCCTTGTAATGCGTGCATAGTACACATGCTTTCTACATCACACTGGGTTATTTTCTTTAGACATGTAGTCATTTGTATGTTACCTATGATACTGTAAATGTAATTACCAGATTTATGTGTTTGAAGTCTTCAGATACTGGTTTTGTAAAGTTTTTTTTTAAAGTTATGAAAAAAATTTTTAAAAAATATTAAAATGTCTAGCATAAGGAGCAACAAAAAAGGGAAAGTATGGATCATTTCAAAAATGGAACTGTCACAAAATATATATGATCAGTATTTTCTCCCCTGAGCAGTTTAACCTTCTGTAGTGGGACTGTAGCATGGTGGACTATGGCAGGTTAGTGTCCTCTCCAAAAAGTTTTAAAAGGCTATGTGCATGGATGAAACAGTTCTCAGAGTAGTTTGGGGCAGTTTAATCCCTGTGTGTGTATGAATCACACAGAAACACAAACAGGTTTCTTATGAAGGTGTCTGTGTGGTGGTGTGAGTACTCCTGGTGTGGCTGTGTTGTGCTAGGTCTTCATGAAGAAATACAAATGTGTGAGCCAAATTTGAGAGTTTTCTCTTCATTTACTGATGAGCTCTACCTGTTCAAGTAATACTTTTTGGTCAGTGCCAAAACACATGATAAATGTTTGGTGATCTTATACTGTTAAGATAGTTTGTTCTATTATTTGCATTGGTAAACTGTAGAAACTTCTACCTCTTCTAATATCAAAGTATATTAAAATAAATAATTGATATATGAATAAGATTCTATATAATAGAGGACACATACAGATGATTAGCATTAAAATATACACACCCATGTATATGTTTTTATAATAAATAAGTCACTGTAGGAGCAATGTAAGTTTTAAAGTTCTATAGATAAACAAGTAAATGATGGCAGCTCAGTCTGTCCTAGTCAGGCTCTGTTGCCTAGTAATCTGAGAAAACTGTTACTGTTTTTACCCACCTGTGCTTATAAAACAGTAACAAACTCCGCACTTCTGGTCACTGTGGAAGCATCTCTGCCTGGCTGTCTAGTTTCTTTTTTCTAGCTTCTGTGTATGTTCCTCAGATTCTCTTTGACTCTGGTATAGTGTTCACCTTCTGCTGCATTCTTCACTCTCTTCCCAAAGGGCTGCTTCTGTGTGTGTTTAGCCTTTGCCTATCCTCTGTGAAATGCCAGCCACTCTCCTGGTTCACACATTACTGCTACAGGCATGTAGAAGATAAGCAAATGATATCTTCACCTGATTGCATAAATTTTAGAAGGTGCATTTTCGACAGGGTGGGGTCTTCTGACTTGGTGGAAGTTAAGCGTCACTTTATATTTTTCTCTCAACTATTCCAAGATTGACGGTGGGGCTGCTGGTGACTCGGGCACATTACTGAGTGCACAAACCATCACATCTGAGTCCATGTCGACAACAACAACCACTCACATCACCAAGGTAAAGCAACCCAAGGGCATCTGGGGAGAGAGTGATGCATTGCAAATAGGATCTTTTCTGAATTGTTTCTTGGTTCTTAGACAGACTTCTAAGTAGTTATGAAATTAAAATTACACTCCATTGACAAATGTATTTAG